TAGAATAGTAGTCATAGCGTCTCAAGCTGATTCCTTTAGTATAGTTGAAAAAGATAAGTAGGGAAAGTTGTCATGGAGATTTAGGTGGGCTGCTGAATATGACGGATTAATTCAGGAGATGTGACATTACACAGATATAAGTTGACCAAATCTATGGCATGGCTAATAGGTGAGGTAACAATATCAGTCATAAACTCTATGGTACTGGATGGAGATATGTTAGCAAGATCTTGAATGATTTGTGTTGATTGTTGAACTAGAATGTTAAACCTAACATTCCAGTGTCTTGTCAAATGTAATTAAATTAGTTCCTGGCCGAATATTTTTCTCATGAGGAACGAATGGACTTGGAACATTAGTTTGTTAAAGATTTGATAATTGTGAGCATCCTCTGAATCTTTACATCTAAAATCTTCCACTAGTTATACTACCGTATCAAATAGAAGCTGTAAGTGCTAGTTTGGGGTTGCTGTGCTTATAGAAAATCCACTTCAAAATTTTGGACTGGGTTAAGTTAAGATGGATAGTTCATTGTTTTGATCAAGAAAGGCATTCATATTTTGTTTTACAAGGAAAGCGCAATTGTATGGTTCAGGATCCCTGCTTCTTCTCTCTCTCTCTCTCTCTCTCTCTCTCTCTCTCTCTCTATATATATATATATATATATCTCTGTGTGTGTATTAATGTATTTGTAATATATTATATATGTCATGAGCATACAATTTAAATGCTCGTCAGACTTGCTTATGGTGCATGGGTAATCTAAGGCAGTGTTGATTTTGTATGTTTAAACATATGACTCCAATCTTGATAGCATGTGAATCTCTGTCTTGAGTTGATGTAACAAAAATTATCCTGGTTGGCACACTAGTTGCAAATTTGTAGTTTACTTCAGATTTTTAATAATATGATTCTAAATAGTTAATTCATTTGGTACGAAGTTGTTGGCTTGCTGTTCATTATTTCTCATGGACCAGCCACACCTAGTTTTCTTAATGATTTTGCTTTGTCTACTCTCAGCTTTCCGCTCTTGGAGGGTATCTGGTTTTGAGGTGGATTTGGGCAAGATGGCAGGAAAGAAGGGATAAAAAGGACGGCTCTTCGGATGACGAACGATCTTCTGCTGATGAATAGGTTATTAATATGTTTACTGCCCTTGAAATATTGCACATCGAAACTGCAAGTTACTTTCTGGATTCCTTCCTACTGTAACAAAAGCAGTACATGGAAACTTGAGTGTGCTTGGTAAAGAAGGTGTTTTCCCCTTCACCTTCCATTCTTGATTTCGTTACTACTTGTAATATTCACGGTAAGTTAGTAAATCCGTTCATCGTTTCCGGATGCGGTTTTATGTTCACATAACTGCTGGATTGCCTTCTGAGTTGAGTTGGAGTGAAAGAACAATGAGAAAGAGACGATGAGCCGATTGAATGCATACAAGACTCCCTATCCTACTTAAAGCACAAGAATGCAAAAATTATAAAAACATTTAAACGTTTGGTAGTGCAAAACAAGTGGACATAGCAACAAAAATAGGAATTTCACGGCATTGGCACACCGCTACCGTGATGTTTCATGATACAAGGATGTAGCGTCACAAATTTTTGTTCACATGATGTACCATTAGAACATGACACTGTTGTGACAGTGAACCCGTATCATGTAAGTTGTTTTTCATAAGTCCCAATTTGGTGGTCCGGTTTTTATCTCTATCATCTGATTGAGTAGTCTGGCTCCTAAGTGTCGGAGGGATATGCCCTGATACAACTCCAAGTATTTTTGTACTACGCAACACCAGCGTTGTAAAGGGCTCTTCCTTTTGTGTCCGATTTCCACCCTTTGTGGTGTTAGCCAATTTTCAGAAATGGTGGACTGTGAAATAAATGAGGGAAAAAATTTGAAGAAAATAAGTGTAAAATTATGTGAATAGGTAGAGCATGTAGGATAGGTATTTATAGATTTTTTTGGTATTTCTACATCTTTTTTTTACAAAAATCTTATTTTGGTTGAAAATGAGAATTAAAAGCATATTTAACAGTTAGCTAACTTTAGCTAGCTGTTATATGCTGGTTTTTTTTTTTTTTTTTTTTTTTTGGTTCAATCTAACAACTTAGTATTATGGTCTAATGGTATTCTCCTTCGCTTGTAGCGTGATAAGTTTTCGTTCACATGATATACTATTGGAACATGACCATGTGATGACAGTGAACCCACATCATGTAAGTTGTTTTTCATAAGTCCCAATTTGGTGGTCCGGTTTTTAGGGTTAGGATATTTAAACTCTTCTTTTCTCATTGATATGGTCGATGTGGCACCCATATCGATCGCGCAGGGTCAAGGAGACCCACCCATCACGTGACAGTACAGTACGAGCCCGCTTTCTAACTTTGATACCATGTAGAATTATCAGAGAGATAGATTAAAGACCCAGTTCCAAAAACACCAATATTGTCTCTAACCTGGTAATTACCACATGCACAATCCGTCAGGTATGGAGTTTTATCACAAAAGGCATCGGCGTTAGTTGGAGTGAGATTAGGATATTTAAACTCTTTTTTTCTTATTAATACAGTCGATGTGAGACATTTTAACAGGAAAGATATGCCTTCATAGAACTCCAAGTATTTTGGTACTATGCAACACCAAAGAGTTTTCGATGACATGCTAGTCCCCTTGACGCTATCTTCGAAGCATTGATGGTCAGCGTTGCAAGGGGCTCTTCCTTTTGTGTCCGATTTCCACCCTTTGAAGTGTTAACCAATTTTCAGAAATGGTGGACTATGAAATGAATGAGGGAACAAATTTGAAGAAATATTTGAAGAAAATAAGTGTAAAATTATGTGAATAGTAGAGCATGTGGGATAGGTATTTATGGATTTTTTTGATATTTCTACATTTTGTTTTTACAAAAATCTTATTTTGGTTGAAAAAGAGAATTAAAAGTATATTTAACGATTAGCTAACTTCAGCTAGCCGTTATATGCATTTTTAGTTTTTTATTTTTTATTCTTAAACATGTTTTTTATTTTTTTATTTTTTATTTATTTTTATTTTTAATTTAACGACTTAGTACTATGGTCTAGTAATATTTCTCTTCACTTGTATGTGAGAGGTCTTAGGTTCGATTCTCGCTAAAGGCGAATTGCTAGCCCATTTTGAGGTTTAGTCCACTCCCCCCACCCTCATTAGTGTAGATAATATCGTTTATTAAAAGGAAAAAAAAAAAAAAACTAACGGCTACCTGACGTTAGCCTGCGTTTCAAACTTGAACCGTTGGATGTACTCCTGTGCCTGACCTCGTGGACAAAAAGATGCGGGTGTATGCTGGGCCCATGAACAGTTTTGGCTCGTTCTTATTTTGAGGCCAAATATGGCAAGCCCAATAGCAGTGGTAGATCCAAGATTTGTACTTATGAAAGTCCTAGTGTTAAATACAAGTTTTTTTTTTTAGATAGGAACAGAGTAAAGCGCAAAATAAAAAATAAAAAAAAAATCAATTTATTCACTTAGTGAACTTGTTGTGCACATGTCAACAGATATTGGAATATGCTGAAACTAATCAGCTTATTCACTTGGTGGGTTTGTTGAGATATGCCTAATATGCATTGCATTACACATTTAGTAGACACAAAAATGATCCATACCAAACATTCAACAGGTCCTCAAAAAGACCAAAATGTGTATGTTTTCTAGACTCGTCCTGGGATCACTTTAGTCCCTAGTTCCATCTGCCCTGCTAGTAAGATTTGCCTACTAGTTTTTATTTTTTATTTTTTTTTATTTATGATTCTATGTAACCCTCCATTGAAAGATGAATTTGAGAGCAAAAGGGGCTAAATTGGGCTATGTGGAGATGGCATAATTATGGGATTAAATGAGAATTTTGATTTAAATGCTCATCAAATTTGTTTATATTTGTTTACTTTTGTTTACCATTTAAATGGGAATAAAATGAGAATTTTGATTTAAATGCCACTCAGTATTACGGTTTGGTGGTATTCCTCTTCACTCGGAAGTGAGAGGTCTTAGGTTCGAATCTCGACGATTTCGATATCAATTAGGTTGCCCATTGTGTGGCTTAACCGAACTCCCTTCATTTTAGTGTAAAAATATCGATGTACTAAAAAAAACAAAAAAGAAAAAAAGATTAAGTATAAATCAAAATTGGAAAAAGAAAAACAAAGTCTGGAAAAAGAATACATAATTGTCCTAATAATGACTAGTTTATCTCCATGGGCTTGAGAAACCTTTCTTTATTCACAGACGCTACGCATCCTAAAAATATGTTATGGTAGTTGGTTTCTATTGTAATTTTTATGAAATATTTTTATTGAGGTATATGCGAGAGACTTAGGGGTGGGCAAGGTTTGATTTGATGTGATTTTGAGTGAAACCAAAATCGAAACTGCAATTTTTTGCGATTTGGTTCGATGCGGTTTTGAGGCTAAAACCGAAATGAAACCAAACCATTTGGTTTAGTTTGGCGTGGTTTCAAATGGTTTCGGTTCAATTTTCAAACCATTTACATACAAAATGATTTTTTTTTTATTTGGGTCCTCCCCTCTCTCACATAAAATATTAGAAAATGCCTAACCAAATCAGATAGAATTTGAGTAAATAACAATGAAACAAACTGATACACTTCTATTATTTATACCAAAATATTTTCAACCAAAAAAATCCATTTTTTGACAAATTCAGGTACCTTAGTCAATATCTTTTACCATTTCAGATTCATCACCCAAAAAAACCAAAATTGAAGCCTTCAATACCTTACCCAGAACCCACCATCGACACCTAAGTAAAGTAATAATTGCCCAAACACTACAATTGAGGACAAAAAACATACATATCTGAATCTGATTTATGAAAATGTTTTGCCACCAGTATTATGAAAAATGTTTTGTCCCCAATGCCAAATGAGATCAAGAGCAACATTGAGCAAGAAACAACTATTTAAATGTATGGAGTGTAACAAACACCTAATTAAAACATTACTTTAGTCTAAAGAAGCTGGCAAAATTGCACTGTAGAAATGAACAGTGTTTTGCACCACATTTCAGTTTATTTACAAGATTGCCATCGCCTCTTCAGTTTCAGATTGAAATTTTCAATTTATTTACGAAATTGCCACCCTTCAGCGTGTACGTGTCGACCATCGTAGAAAGGGTGGGGGATGGAAGCAAACCCGATGTTGTTCCAGAGATCTCTTCGATGACAAGCCCATTTTGCTCCAGAGCTCTTCAACGACAAAGTCGATTCAGCGCCTCACCGTCGCACACCTCGCCTTCCCCTCGCCTTCGCACACCTCGCCTTACCTCGCCGCCGCACTCCTTACCAGAACTCGAATCAATGGTAACGTGCCAATTGGATATATTTTTTGTCGATTTTTATCATTATTCTAGAAATTAGGGTTTGATCTAAATTTGATGTGGGAGGATTTGTGGACGGATTTCAGGGAGAGAGGCGTGGGATGGCAGGGAGGGGAAGGGAGAGGGAGGAGTGAGGTGATGCGAGAATTATACGCACACAAATTAAACCCTCTTTTTGACAATTGTAGTATAGATATAAGTAGGGATCGTTCTGGACCGGGGATTAGGAGGGATTGTTAACCACTTGGATTTGACTTCAAAAACGTAAAAACAAGTTTAAAACACTATACTAAACTCGAAGAATGCAAAACTAAAAGTAAGAAAGATTAAGACTAAAACTTAAACAAAATATGGGGGGGGGGGATTTAGGTTTGGACGAGATTAAACTAAAGTGGATAGATTGCAAAGAAAACAAATTGTAAATACGAAATTGACCGAAATGAATGGATGGGAAAGCTAGCTAAGGGGTTCATCTCCACATATGTTATACTTGCATACAAAACGATGTCTAATTGCTTTTCAATAAACCATGAATTCTCAACGCCCCGGGTTAATTAGGTCCGCTTAAATTAACCGTCAAGTTTTCCTTAAGTTAATGAATTGGATGATTGCATACGACAATCCAAAGCATTCCTCACAAGTTCCCTACATGAATTGCATAATAGAGATACAAGCAAGAATCATTAAGCATCATGAAAACTATAAGTGTTGACGAGGCATTCGTTACTATGATTGCATGAAACTTATGCCAAGAATATGTTTAACACGATTGTTTATAAGCAACCTCCACTACTTGTGAATATAAGTTCATAACTATTACGTGAAACTCACTTATATTCTAGCGTCAAATTCATGCATGAAAATTAAGCGTTCATTCTTAATAAACATACATAAATAGGTTATCAATCAAACAGTTAAACAAATTGAATTCACAACTTATGAAATGTAATTAAAAGTAATCAAATCATATTACAAACATAAACATAGTTTCGAATTACCCCCTAGCTAAAGGGGGTTTAGTTCCTCATAACTTTGAAATCAAAGAAACACCTAAACATTCCAACAACTCAAAACTTTGAATTGTATGAACGTTTAAGCACTCTTTTCTTCCATTTCTCATACGTACAAAACAAAGAGAATTAAAATGGAACTTTGAAATCAAAGAAACACCTAAACATTCCAACAACTCAAAACTTGAATTGTATGAACGTTTAGGCACTCTTCTCTTCCTCGTTGTTGTAGCACAAGGTTTAAGGATAGGTTGGTTGGGGGGATGGAAGTGTTGGGGAATTATGGAAATGGATGAGGATTGGTGGAAATGGAAGATGGTTTTTTTGATTCTAAGGGAGAAAGGAATGTGTTTGTGGTGTGTTGTTGTGTTGTGAATGAGATGATTTGAATGAATGGGAATGCAAGGGTATTTATAGGAGGAGTGGAGGGAACATATGGATGTTTGTTTAAGCATTTGTGTGAAGGAATGATGAAGAATTGCATGTGGAATTAAAGAATGAGTGGTGGTGTAATGATGAAGTGAATGCATGTGGAATTAAAGAGGGAGAATGTGGTGAAATGATGAAGTAGGAAGGTGGAAATGCATGTGAGATGTTGGAAAGGAAATGGGAATATGAGTGCATGTGGGTGAATGATTTGTGGTGCAATGATGAAGAGTGAATAAAGAATGCATGTAGGGTTAGCTAGGAAAGTGGGAATGTGGTTGAATGATTAAAGGGACATGCATGTGGCTTGTTTGATTGCTTGGTGAGATGATGCATGCTTGTAGTTTAGGGTGTTGAATATGGATTTGCATGGCATTTGAATTGATTGTGGGCTTTGGAATTGGAAGGAAATGCATGGCAAAGGGCTTGGTTTAAGAGAGAATGGGCTAGGCCCTTTGTTTTATGTCCAAAGTGAATACAAGGCCTTCAAATTCGTCCAACATTTTGGCTCCAATCATATGCCATCCATTCCAAGCCCAATTTTGCTCCAAAATGCTCCAAAATGCATCTTTTTTCTTCCTTAAGCCCTTAGAACCTGAAAACACACAAAAGAAGCATAAAGGACTAAAATAACTAGAGAAACATAACGTAAATGCACGAGAACAAGCCATTTAAGTCGCATGAATATGCTCCTATCATGAGGCTGCCAAAAAGGGGGTTAGGGTTGATTTTTTATCCCCAAATCAATTGTTGTTGTCGGTGATTGAACGAGCATTGGTTAGAGGGGAACTTTCATTTCCTTTGTTTCTGAACCGGAATGGGGTCGATGGGACCATGCTCTGTTGCACGTTCAGATGAGTGATTTGAGGGATTTGATTTCAGGGATTGGTAATCCCATCCCGTGTTTTCCCCTCATCTCTGTCACACTCAACCTCTCTCTAATCCTTTATGTTTCTCTCTCTTTTAGACTCTTCCTTTCTCTCAATTGTCCATCGCTCTCAACTTTAGTGCTAACCCTAATTTGTTCTTTCATTCCTTAATTTTCTCCATCCGAGCAATGAAAAATCGAACTGGGTTTTCAGATTATTGATGCTTCACGGACAGAAAATGGAGAGAGTTGATTAAGGGAGTTGGTGAGTATGGGCTTGCACATAGGGAAGAACGCAGAAAGAGAGAGAGAGAGAGGGAGAAGGAGGGAACGATTGCACAGAGACAAGGAGAAAGACAGAGAGAGATCGCAGAAAGAGGAGGATGACAAAAATTGAGGAGGAACCCGTGTCTGCAGAGAATGAGTAAGTTCTGAACCAAAGCCTATTTTCTCTAATTTTTGGCTATGCGACAACAAATTTCTGAAGTAGAAGAATCAAGGAACCTTGCATTTAGAATTTAATCCTAATTTTTTTCTCTTTGCAGGACAAAAAACTACCAAGGAAGGAGGAGACTGCCAGGAATGTAAAACCCAGGTAGGAGAAGACAAGCAATGGCGGAGGAACCAAGGCTGTAGATCTTTGATAAAAGGTATAAATCCTTTTCGTTTCTGGTAGTTTACCCTCGCCTAAAAATGTGAAATTTAATATGGTGTTGATGAGTGTGTTTGAAGGCGGAAGAGCTGATCCTGTAATTTGATTGCATTGTCATGCTCGAAATCATTTATCAATTTTATTAAGTAATGTTTATATCTGCACCATCTTCTAACTTTTTTATAAATGTTTTAACCTTGATCTATTGTTTGATGATCGTTTTGTAGCACTGACAATATCATCGCTCTTTCCATTCCTTTATTTTTTGGTGAGTGCTCACTTATTAATATTGTTGTTGCTTTTAGTTTTTAAATTTTATGAAAAATGCAACCTTCAAACCCTGTTGAAGTCGATTTTGTATCTCAAGATTCCAAATTATTGTTTGCAGATTAGGGATTTGCATATTGCTAAAAGAGAGGAAGACATTGGCTATTGTGCTGGATTTGTAGCTGAGTTGATGATTGTCGCTACTTACCTTTTGTATTCTTCACCGTTTTGTTCCTTAACAAGTGTCTTTTTTTGAAGGGGCTTCATAGATGCTTGGCAGAGTCCTGACATCAATTTTTTAGGGAATGGTGGCTGATATTGACTCAGATGAAGCCCCTATTTATATATCCTGATCATTTTTATGTTCTATCTTTTCTGACTTGGATGATATTGATCAAATGAATGAGTTAGAAACTGAAAGTTACATTTGTTCCATCAATATGTTGATCAAATGGATGAGTTAGAAGCTGAAAATTACATTTGTTTCTTGCTACTTTTTATACTGAACAGATTTTGTGTATGTATAGTGCTTTATTTTCAAGGTTATTTCTCTCAACACCATGTGAATGTACAAATAGTTCTTTCCCAATTCAACCAATTTAAAAATTGGGATTTTAATTGATGTTCGTCCATGGTTCCTTACTTTCCAGATATTGAAACATGCATAAATTCACCTGGAAATTATTCATGTCAATGTCCCAAAGGATACAAACATGAAGGCATGGATGAAAAGAGTTGTATCAAAGACAACAAATGGTCAAAAGCCATTCTCCTCATTATTTCATTAGGGATGCATGTTTTTTTTCTCATGTTAATATATTGCATATACAAGCCTAAATTTATTTTATTGGAGCCACTTTTGGATCCAACATTCTCATAAAGTATGTCATTGATGAAAGTTATATTCTGGTGTCTTTTAGTGATCTTCATGTTTTTCGTACAAAATAAGATTGTTAGCTTCTATGGTAAGTATTAACTATCAGGTATTTGTTTTCATATTGCATGAAATTTCCACTTTTTTCATCTTTGAATAGTCTCAAGCACGGTAATAATAGCACTAGAAACTGAGGAAATCCACTTTCTTTGGTCAGGTTGGATTCTCTACTATGACTACCATTTTTATCTCTAAACAAATTTTTAATGGTATGTATGATATAAAAGGGTAGATTTAACTATTTTGGTTTCTTTGTTCTCACACTTTGGTGCCTGGAGTTTTAATTTTTCATAGTTGTGTCTGAGTTGTTTTCCAGTTACAATTCGGGTGCCATTGGCAACTTCTAGAGGACCAAAATTGTTTTCAGGTCAAAATACAGGAACCAAATTGTAACTAGACTAGGAGATTACATTACCAAAGTAGGAAAGTTCGGTCTTGATTCATAGTTTGGCAACATAATATGTATGTGGGATGTTGTTTTGGAACCGCTTGGTAAGTGTTAAATACATCCTATAACATGACTGACTAACAAGCATGGTCGTTCAGATATACATGCAATTGAGATCACTGATTAAATCAGATTTCTTTTAAATGGAAGCAAATCTTGCCTATTAGGTGTTTGTGAAAATTCTCCAGAGAGTTAGAAACAAGGATATGATGCAAATCTGAATGTAGGTTGTTTTGGTATGTGTGTGTACGTATAGGGGTGTTATATTGATATGAAATGACATAGAAAAGGATACACATCATTTGAATATCTCTATGTTCCTAGGTTGTTTTTCCATTTCTTGGTTGCTTCTGTATTTTTGGGATGCACTTATAAATTTTATTTTTCATATGCATGTAGATCCAGCAAAAGCATACACATCAAACCCCTCATTCACACAACAGCCACCAAAGAGACCATTACTGAGGTATTTCTCAATCCATTTAAAAATTTTTTGTTAACTTTTGTTAACTTTTATACAAACTAATTTCTAATATAATTCTCCTTACTGTGTTTGGATACAAACTCTTTTTCCCTCTAATTTTTTGCCATGTCATGTATCCTTGCAGCTCAACCACCTGCAAGTTTTTGAGAAACAAAGAGCCTCATCCACAGGAATCTGTAATTCATAGCAGCAGGTATATCCTAAACCTTTCGTTATCATCTCCTTATTCATGAAAACTTTTTCCTTCTATTTTTTTGTTGATACAGTATATAGTGTCCATTTTCTAACTGGAAGAGAATCATTTCGTATTATTTGGATTTGAGAACACCAGCATACACATGTCCTGGTTTTTTGGCATGCAACTAAAAGTGTGAAACATCAATTTGAGAAGAGTAAGACTAATTTCCTGGCTTTATTTATTTATTTATTTTATTTTAAAACCAAGCCTACATTCTTTAAAGCCACTATTAGTATTTAACTATGATTTGAATTAATTGATCTGTGGGGTGTTTCAATTGATCATCTGCAAATAAATATACAGCTCTTTAGTGGTACCAAAGGGTTGACAGTGGGAGTTCTTAGTCATCCAAATCTATTTCAACGCTGGACGAAGAGTTCAAACATATGTTATTCTCTTATATATTTGTATTTGAATGGTAACAATGTTGTTCTTCTGCTGCAAAAATCATCCTTTTAATCCATTTCAACTTAGGCTCAACTTTACTTTCGTTTCAGCTTCATTTTCATGTTAATCATGTCCTTGGTTGCAGACAGAAGGTGACGATGGGTGCACAATTAGGGGGACAGAGAGAGTTGATTGGGTACAAGATTTGAGGGTAGGGTTGAGGGAATAAGTGTGTTGGCTGTAAAGAGATGGTGGGTTTGAGTTAGTATCTCCCTCTCTATTGCTTCTCTCTTCCTCCATATATGACATCTTCGTTTTGGGGTCAAAATATGTTTGCTTTTACATAGAAATTTGAGTGTTTTATTTATTTATTTGGGTTTTTGTAGCTGATACATATTATGTTTTGTGTTTCTGGGTTTTATCACGTTGCTGATGCATAAACCCATCAGTTCCTCTGTAATTTGTTCCGGTTTTCATTATTCTTTTTCGATTTCTTTTGTCAAAATTGAAATGGAATTTGTTGGCTTGATTTTGTATTAGGTTGCCAGAGGGTTCTGTTTTTAGGGTTCTCTCCGTCCCACTCACTCTCCCTCTCCCTCTCTGTTTCTCTTCTTCAATCAGTCTGACGTAGTTTTGCAATTTAGGGTTCAGTGCATTTACTGGAATATACATACATATAAATGTTTAAATTTGTTCAATTTTTCTATACACAGGCTGGGTTAATTTGATTCTTGACCAATGATTGGTTATTATATTACAATTGTGGGTTCTGTTTTTAGGGCTGGATGAAAAGAAACACCCGTCAGAGCTTTCAACAACTCGAAGGTCAGTGATTTCTTCCTTCTCTCTAATTCTGTTTCTGCTATTTCAATTTGTAGGATTTAATTTAGGGTTTTAAGTTGGAAAATTTAATTAAACATTTTCAGTTGGAGAGCTTGGTGTATTCAACAATTAGGGTTGTTAATTTTGATTGCTGGTCTACTAAATGTTTTAGAACATGTAAACAGGGAGTACATACTTTGTATGCCATGGATAGGGAATGGATACGTAATTAGATCAATTGATGGGTGCCGCTGTTTTGGATATCTACATCCATCAATACCTGGTATTCTGTGTTTTGTTGTAATGGATTGGAATTTCTACTCGAATCATTATTATTATTATTATTATTATTATTATATATTTAGGGGTTGGGTAAATTGATTTTGGAGATTTTGTATATGGTTTGGGTTCTTTGATTTTGTTTAGATAGATGGTGCTTAAGTTTTTTTAGTATATTCCCTGCACATTGGAAAATTTTGGTACTATTTGGGTGTTTTGGTGTTGAAAGCTTAGGGTTTAGGGTTTAGCGTTCAGCATTTAGGGGAATGCAAAGAAGGCATGTCTGCGTTTCTGAACTCTTATGCAAATCTAATTTGAAATCATGAAACACATTTCCTATGTTTCTCAAATCTCAGCAATAGGTTTTAGAATCCTGAAATCTAAGTAAAGTTACATCATTCCTGTTTTCGTATTTTTTTAATTCCTATCATCCTGGCCACGATTAAACGTGAATATGCAAGCCAACCTTGCATACTCAGTGATTAATTTCTGGATGAATTTTTCTTTAGAGGAGGGTTTGTAGATATGAATACTTGAGGGGCAGATGCTCACCATGTCATGTATCCTTGCAGCTCAACCACCTGCAAGTTTTTGAGAAACAAAGAGCCTTATCCACAGGAATCTGTAATTCATAGCAGCAGGTATATCCTAAACCTTTCGTTATCATCTCCTTATTCATGAAAACTTTTTCCTTCTATTTTTTTGTTGATACAGTATATAGTGTCCTTTTTCTAACTTGGAGAGAATCATTTTGTATTATTTGGATTTGAGAACACCAGCATACACATGTCCTGATTTTTTGGCATGCAACTAAAAGTGTGAAACATCAATTTGAGAAGAGTAAGACTAATTTCCTGGCTTTATTTATTTATTTATTTTATTTTAAAACCAAGCCTACATTCTTCAAAGCCACTATTAGTATTTAACTATGATTTGAATTAATTGATCTGTGGGGTGTTTCAATTGATCATCTGCAAATAAATATACAGTTCTTTAGTGGTACCAAAGGGTTGACAGTGGGAGTTCTTAGTCATCCAAATCTATTTCAACGCTGAACAAAGAGTTCAAACATATGTTATTCTCTTATATGTTTGTATTTGAATGGTAACAATGTTATTCTTCAGCTGCAAAAATCATCCTTTTAATCCATTTCAACTTAGGCTCAACTTTACTTTCGTTTCAGCTTCATTTTCATGTTAATCATGTCCTGTTTGTGTGTGTTTTCTGTTGGCATTGGAGGGTGGTGCTTAAACTGAAAGCTCTGGGTTTATTTATTTATTTATTTTATTTTAAAACCAAGCCTACATTCTTTAAAGCCACTATTAGTATTTAACTACGATTTGAATTAATTGATCTGTGAGAGGACTGATTCCAAAATACATCTTAACAGCTTTATCTGGCTGATAATTCAGAACATTATCAAGTCTAAATGATTGGTCGTCAGTTAAACCCTTCTAAGATATACCCTTTGTTTGTTGCACTCTCACAAATTTAATCCGTTCCACCATCACAGTTTTTTAGCTTTTACAGTTTTCCCACGGTTTCTGGAATGCTTTTTTGATCTTAATACTATCTGCTCTGTTGCTTGCTGTTATCAAATTTAAAAAATTGAAACAACGTTATAGTTCTAACCAAAATTTGTGAAGGCCAAGGATGTAACCATCTTTGGTTTCACATTGTTAATTTGAATTATGAAGTTATGAGTGAATAAATTGGGAGTCTGAAATGTGTGTCTGCCACATGGGTTGGGTTGGGTTGGGTTGTATTAGCGACTCTGTGTGAGTGTAGAGGTGGGTGTGGAGGTGGAGGTGGAGGTGGAGGTGGTGGGATGGTGGTTTTGTTTTGCGCCATCCCAAGACCAAGGAGAATGCATGTGAGAAAATGTGATGAGTTTTAAACTCATCACTCACTTATTAGTCAAGTCAACCATTTTTCACTCAACTCTGATCTGCCAATTTGCCAATTGGCATATGGTTTTAATTTGAATAGGTTTAAGGATTAGGTTTGGTTGGATTTCAACCATTACATTTCCTAGATTTGAAATCTGTTTACTATCTCCTTTAATTGTTGTATGTTACCCCATTTAACTCAAATTTAATGATATTTGCTCCTCCAATTTCTCGGATTTCCTAACGGATTTACTTTCTTTGGAAATTTCAGGAACCCTGATTCTGGGAGGAAGAATACACTGCATTGCCATCTTTAGGTATACAATTCTGCACACTGATTACATGTTCAAAAGCCTAATTAGTTATACACCATTTTTTTTTATTACCTTTGCAAAGCTTTTGTACTTAGATTTTAAATATGTGATTAGTTTGTAAAGAATAAACGAGACAACTAATCATGGGTACATACTTCTTTTTCGATTTTATCCTCTGCATTGTTTCTTGAATGAAATTGGATTCATAGATGTAGGGATACAGCAACAACTGAGGTGTGAATAAAAGGTCTAGCCGTAACGATTTTAGGGTTTAGAATTGATTCGAAAATATGAGAAAATGCTGCATTCTCTGTTTTTTTTTTAATTTTTTTTATTTTTTTATTTTGCTGTAGTGATTCCAACTTAGTATATACCCATTTTTATAGTACCATGAATAAAGAATATGCAATTGCTAGGATCTCAATTTGATAATCCGATTATAAATGGATCTATATAAATCAAGGCTAATTCAGTCCAACTTGATATAGTATGACTTAATATAACATATCCTTTGATCTTTATATTACTTATGGTTTTCTGTAGTGGTAGTTTAATTAAAATCGAAAAATATAATAAGAATGAGGTTACTCATTCATTATATTTTAATATTTTCTAGGTTTTAAATTAACTTTGATCTATCCAAATATGATGTTAATCGATTCTGAATCAATAAATAAGATTTGGTGATCCAAATAGGATTCAAAACTGTTAATTCGATTTCAAATATGATGTTACATGTACTGTAGATTGGTCACAGCCTAATAAGAAGACTAATTGGAAGTGATTTAGCCCTTCATTCTCATTTGTTTTGTTCAGTCCAGTGGCAAGAAAAAATAAGGGTGCCTGAAAATCATTTACCTAAGCATATATGTTTAACAGCTTCCTTCACTGTAGATTAATATCCAACGATTCTAACCTATAATATATCGTTCATATACTTTTGGAAGTATGTTATGCTCTATTTGATCCCGAATAAGAAATGACATAGGTTTGTGGCTTCCATTGTTATTAAGTTGTATCCTTTTCTACTTGGGTTCCAAGAAACCATTATAATGAATTAATCAATTTTTTTATTCTAAGGAAGTATGTATTCATCATTGTTTTTTTTTTTGAACAATTTCAATTAATATAACTATGACCATTTGTCTACTATTTTATATCTTCTGTTCTTTTTCCTTTTTGTAGACTCCCATTGCCATGTTGTTCTCTTGCTGCTAACTGATTTAGTTGGGGTATCTTAACAAGATTGTTGTCTTTACGAAGCCTTTTTTGTTTTTTGTTTTTTTTTTTTTTTGTGGTGTTACTTTTTACGGTGGGGATATTCCTTAATTTTTGCTTTAAAGTGAGGAAGATTTAACAACGCATTTTTTTGTTTGTATTGGTGGTGTTACTTTATGAATTTTTAGTTAGGAAGATTTAACAATGCCTTTTTTTGTTTGCTTTACTTTATTATGTCTTGATAAACGCAAGTTCAGCAACAGGTTGCTGAAATGATCACTTATATAGCCTCTACTGCAAAACAATTTCCTAAGAAATGTGTATTACTTTGTCTTCTGGGTGAGCGTTCTCTAATTTAGATTAGACATCGGGACTCGAAGCTTGGTTTGTTTTCTGTGTCTCCTTCACTGTATCTGTTCTGTGGATGAACAGGTAGATGTCAACTCTAGCATTTAATGGTGTTGTGCACTTTGACAGGTATATGTGAATGGCTCACAAAGTTTTTCTGAATCTGTAGATCCAGTGGGCCCTCTTGACACTGTTATATCCAAACCAAAGTTTGGCGAATTTGATATATGTTGGATACAATGGCAGTTCTGCTTCAGCTATCCATGTTACTAGAAGATCAAAAGATCATAAAAGGCAAAAAACAGAAAGAAATGTTAGCTGCTTCGTTTTTTGTCCTAAAAATGCAGAAAAATCCCCTCTTTTAAATTCATTCATAGGAAGGTATGGCTTTCCCCCTTCACTATACTCAACATAGTTATTGCTCCTGAAACTACCTAATTTTCTATTCTTTTTTCTTTTCAAACTGAGACAAAGCTCACCGTGTCTGCTATCCCTTTCCTGTTTGACTCTGGTCTATCTTCCATTTTAGAAAATATTTGTGGTGACTAGATTTAATCTTTCATTTTGCTTTGTTAATTTGTTGTTGCCAATTTTGACCTCAGGCCTTTCTTAAAGAGCGAGACTATACCTACTGGTGAACGTTATGCAGTGAATGTCATTAACCAGATTGGGGTGAGTACTATCATATATAACACTTTTTGCTTTGAGAAAGGTAATGGGTAAGGGAGGTATGGGTTTTTAGGGCCGGTTTCTAGGGAGGTGGTCTGGTGTCAGTGCCTTCACGGGGTGGGGGTGTGTGATATGGGGGAGAGAGGAGAGGGTGTTGGTTCTGAAAAAACAAAGCAACATGTGGATTTCTGTCTTTCTATATCATGCTTATGTTGAAATGTTGGATAGGTAAACGTTCTTTGTTGTTCTGGTTTTACGACTTCATTAATCGTTTAGAAGCGCATCCAACGATGTGAGAGCAGAAGGGGAGCAAGCATGTGAGGTAATTTTTTGTGTTGAATTAAGTGGTTCTGAATTCAGTCGAACATTTGTGTGCAAGTTTGGTTTCTATATCTATCGCAATTCATGCTTGCAGTGATATTATTGTAACATCAAATCCTAAAATGTATTGTGTCAAAAACCAATAAAAGGAATGTAATGTGTAAGTGAGTTTGATTATTCAATTGCAAAATTTTTAATTTTTAGAATGAGAGTTGCAATTAAAATTAACGGAGTGCTGAGCAGAAGTTTAATTAATTCAGTTTTGATAAATGATTGAAGGTTGCTCTATGATTCTTTTGCTGTTTTGATAACGAAAGGGATAGAACGAAAATGAAAGCTTAGAATCTGGTGAATAATATGTTGGCATGTGTGTGTGTTCTCTTCAGGAGGATCGGTTGATGTTTTTAATTGTATAATTTATTTTCATTGGTCTAAATGCACGTCCGATTACTTGCCTTCCCATAGATGGGTTAAGTTGGACATCCAGAAGAATTTGTTTGCATAGGAACTTTTTTGCTTCTTTTCGATGTGATCTGTTTTGTTAAAGGTGATGATAAAGATTTATCAACATTGTTTGTTCGGAGTTAGGTGGAAATTGGGAGGGAGTAAATTGTGATTCTAAACAGGACCATCGTGAGATATTCTTTTAAACTATGATTTATATTCTTTGCTATAGTGCAGAAGACTTAGCTGCTTGAACAAGAATGACTGTTGCAGGGCGTTCTACATGTTTTTGGCTTTCAACATTTTTGCTTCGAGACTTTGCTGCTTGAACAAGAACGAAACACCATCTTAACTGCAAGGCAAAATACGTGTGGACTGGATGTTACTTCCGTTTCTTACTGAAACAGGCGTCTTGCATGTTTTTTGCTTTGCACGTTTGTGCTTGAAAACTTTGATGCTAGAATAAGAACGAAACAGTTTTTATGTTGCCTAACCTATAGGATATATATTTTGCCACATTGACTATAGGGGCAAGATTTGTGTGAACTGTATGTTACTTCTGTTTATTAGGGAACCAAAACGTTCAGTTTCGTCCTGTTCATTATACAATGTCTTTTCATGTCAACTCAGTTGAATGTATATAAAAACGAAGCTGCATATCGTACTGACCTCATTCACTCATCTATCCCTTTTCTTCATTTATGATTGTGTTGAATTTATTAAAGTAAAATGTATCTTATTCATGTAGTTCAAGGTGATGCATTCAAGTCCCGCAGCAACGTGCGGGCACATTTTCAAGTAACATCTAATATGGTTATTCAATTAAAAATTCTTTCTATATTTGTGGTGCGGTTTTCAAAAGCCAAAATCAAAACTACGGTTCAGTTTCAAATCGTTTTCTTACATTGCGGTTTAGTTTCAAACTGAAACCGTTTCAAAACAGCAAAACTAAACCGTTAGGTGTGGTTCGATTTGGTTTGTGTTTTGATTTCAGTTTTCAATTCCAAAGTGCCCACCCCTACAGAGATTTTTTTTTATCATGCGCATATGGTTGTACATTTGGTATACAATTTTTGAAAGCTTGGAATTTTAAGAAATACAATTGTATCCACTGAGATGATTTTATTTTTGTTCAACAGTTCGTGAATAAAAAACCAAATTAAAAAAAAAAAATAATACTGGGGAGACTAAATTTTGTAAATTAAATAGTATGAAAGTTGATGATTTAATAAACATGTTTATTTTTTATTTATGACACATCATTTAGTCATTTTGTTAGCAAAATTTAGTGTACATGAGATTAACTAAAAAACACATTATAAATACTTATATAATTATAAAAAAAGGGTAAATTATATAAAACTACCTTAATTGAACCACAATTTCATACCTCATATTTTAAACATTGAAATGTCGTACCTTAACATATGAATTCGTTGTAATATCAGACCTCCGTTAAATTTTTGGTCAATTTTGACAGTTAAATGTAATACCTCATGAGGTAGTTTTGTGTAAAAAAAGGGGTAAATTTTCTGTCAGACCTCCATTGCTATATCATACCTTTAGTTTTGTGTAATTTACTTAAAAAAAGCAAAAAAAAAAAAAATCAAAGCCAAACATAATTTTGTTTCAATAAATATAGCTGGAAAAGAACAAAGAAGTGATTGAAATCCAGTTAACTTAATTTTCTCAGCAACCAAACAACAGCTTAAAAACCCCAAACACACCCTGAAAAACCCCAAGGCAAACACCTCAGTCGTATTTCTCCTGAAGAGAAGGGTACATACTTTTTCTCTTCAAGTTTTCTTGTGGGTTTGATTTCTGAGATAATTTTGGGTTGCAGAATCATATCGTGTAAGAGGCAGTGATAGTCAGTGTGTCATTGATACTGCATTGTAGCTTTAAGCAAAGCTTCAGACATGGTAACTTCTCAATACCAATTTTCTTATTTTCCATTTTCTAGGGTTTAAAGATTTAACTTCTCATACGCTGATGATTTGATGTCTTGCGTTTGTTTGTTTCATTTGGATGAATCAAGTCCCAGGCCGATATTAGGAAGTGGTTTATGAAGTCCCACGACAAGGGAAACACCAAGAAACCGGCGGCGGCTCCTTCTACACCTAAGATTGAGCTTAAAGAACCAGTAGGTTCATTGCATTTTCCGTTTGTTTCCATGTTCTTTTCTTTAACAACAAGAAAGTATGATCTTTCCACTGCTCCGTTCTGCTGAGAAAATTGTAAGAAAAGGAGGATTGTTTTCGTTATCATTTTATGTATTTTATTCTTGTACTAGGCAAGGAATCTGATCAGAATCTCGGACCAAAACTGAAATGCCACTGACCCCGAGTTGGGAAACTATATTAATCATAATAAGGTTTCCGTTTTGTTCTTTAATTCTGTTATCTGTGCTAAACCAGGTGCAAGGAGGTCAAGAAAGTTCTGGCAGGAGGAAAACTAGCAAGTATTTTCCCATAGATAAACCAAAGGATGAAAATGGAACAACTGAAGTTCCATCCAAAAGAAAGCCTCACAAGGATCCTGATGAATGTGTTAAACCCTCACCTGCAAAAAAAGCTCACAAAGCTGTTGATGACGACGACGACGATTTTGTCTCGCCTAATTCGAAGGAGAAATCAGTTGAACTTGATGCCACACCTAGTAAGAAACTGAAGAGCACATCTGGCATGGGAATCCCACTGCAGGTTACGGCTATTGATGAAGGTGGCAATGATGATAAAAAGAATGCCGAATCACCCCTCAAGCCGGCTGGTAGGGGTCGTGGTGGAAGAGGTGCTTCTGCAGGACCAGCTGGTGGAAGAGGAAGGGGCGCTGGACGAGGCGGATTTATGAATTATGGAGAAAGGAAAGATCCCCCACACAAAGGAGAAAAGGTTTAATGTTTTGGAATATATGGAATTGATTATTAAAATTATTGTATTTTCCTTGATGTTAACTATTAGTCCATGTTTGCATGTCTCAGGAAGTTCCTGAAGGTGCTCCAGATTGTTTAGCTGGCTTGACTTTTGTAATTAGTGGTACACTTGACAGGTATTTATTGTAATATATGTGTGACGTTCACATGCTTGTCAGGGTTGTGTTGGTATTATAGTTTCAAGTTTAATGTTTCTCTGGTAGCATGAAGTTCCTCTTCCTTTTTTTTTCTTGGGTAGATTTCAATAAATATTTGTTTTCCATTCATTCTAATATTGAAGTTTAAATTTTTACTACTTACAGTTTGGAAAGAGAAGAAGCAGAGGATTTGATTAAACGTCATGGCGGTCGTATTACTGGATCTGTCAGCAAGAAAACGGTATGCTCATGTTTCGATCTTGTAATCCCTTGGAGTGCTAGCATTTGATTAACATAGTCTATTTGCAGAACTATCTTTTATGCGATGAAGATATTGAGGGAAGGAAATCCTCTAAAGCCAAAGAACTTGGGTTTGCTGTCTTGAACTGAACTAGATTTTTCATATTTCCTATACTTGCTTTATTTTTATCTGAAAAGTAATTGTATTCTGTAGTACGGCTTTTCTTACCGAGGATGGATTGTTTGATATGATTCGGGCATCTGTCGGTGCTAAATTACCTGTACAACAAGCAAAGAAATCTGTGGATGATGCTGCAGCAGCATCTTTGCCCAATAAAAGCCCTAAGACAGTAACATTGAAGAGTATGTCCCAGTTCATTAAGTAATTTGAGTGTGTTGTTCTAATTGCAGATTTATAATTTGATTTTTGATTTGGCTGGGTTTTCTGTACAATCTAAATGTATGAAAAGGGTCGAGGGTGTCTTATTTCTCAATTATCTTGTCTCCATAGTGTTTGTACATACTCTTGCAGAGCTAGCATATAAGGGCAATAGGGTACTGTTCATTCTTCTGGTGAATAATTTAACCTTTTACTTTTGCACTCTCTTTCTTCTTCTGTTCACAATTTGGGAGCAGATGTGGTCCTTTAGTTTGGTTAATTTGGGTGATTTTGCGGCACTGTACTTCTTTGTTGTCTGAATGCTTTTTGCGAAGGAAAATGAAAAATAACTTTGGAACCTTGTGGCGGCGTGCGATTTTGCGTCCTTTTGGGTGGTTTGGGGAGGAATGACTAGATGAACTCCTGATGATAGAAAAAAAGTTGTACTACACTATTGGATTAATTCATTTATGGCTTCTCTTTGGGACTTTGGGAACTTTAATGATATCTTTGTTAGTTTGTTACAATTGATTGCCCTGCTGTTTTGGACTAATTTTTGTTGCTTTGTTTCGTGTAGTTTATCATGTATTTAACTGGTTTTTAATAATCTTCCTGATGGCTCCTGATCCATCTTGTTCTGTACCACTTTCATCTAGTTCTTCCATTTGAGTGGTTATTATCTGTTCTTTGTCAGACCATGTTCATCATAAGTTAGTAGGAAGTGTTCCAAACTACATATGGTATCAGTATGATTAACTTATATTCTGTTTCATTTTTTTATTGCTCACTGGGACCACGTGTCCAAAGTTTTTGTGTTCTCAGTTTTACTTAGGAATAAAACTTACATTCTTTTTCCCTTCTATTTGTCTCAACTTTCAAAAGTGTTTAAACTTTTGTGCACTCTTTATGACATGGAGGCTAAAAGTAATGTTTTTCTTGTTATATGGATTTTGGATACTTTTTTCTAGCAGGTTAATTAAGCAGTTGCATCTTATTTGAAAAACAAATGTAGTCATCATATTTGAAGTTCTCTTATAAAATTGGCATGTAACCGTTCCAGAAGATTGCACTGGAAGCTCGTTGGCATCAAGTGCATCTAGCAAACAGTTGCAGTCAGATGCCTCCCTTGCTAGGTGTAAGAAGCAAACTACCGAGCATTCTGCTTTTACTTGGACAGAAAAATATAGGCCAAAGGTTCCAAACGACATTATTGGGAATCAGTCACTGGTATGTTGGTCATTGTTTTGCCACCATTGCATCATTGTCTGCATATGCATCTATCTGGGAAGCAAAAGTAAGCTCTGATACAGTTGATGTAATGTCTAATCTGCAGGTAAAGCAGCTTCATGATTGGTTGGCACATTGGAATGAGCAATTTCTTGATACTGGAAATAAGGAAAAAGGAAAAAACCCAACCAATTCTGGTGCAAAAAAGGCTGTACTTTTAAGCGGAACACCTGGTATAGGGAAAACGACGTCTGCAAAGTTAGTCAGTCAAATGCTTGGTTTCCAGGCAATTGAGGTGTCATACTTTAACCAAGAAGCAGAACTATGAGATAATTTAAATATTGCTGAATTATGTTACTGAATGCTATATTCTGTTTTCTCTCATGCTAAATTTGAATTTTGCGGAACTATGAGATAATTTGAATATTGCTGAATTGATTAGGTAAATGCTAGTGACAGTCGTGGGAAAGCTGATTCAAAGATTGAAAGGGGAATTGGTGGAAGCAATGCAAACTTGATTAAAGAGCTTGTCAGCAACAAGGCCCTGAGCATGGATGGGTTGGTTTCTCGCTCTCTCTCTCTCAAAAATAGCTTAATCATGGTATTTCCTCCTAATTGCACTTCATAAAAAAATTGCGTAGCTGCTGATGTGGTACAAGTGGGATTCTTAAGGAGAGGAAAATTGGAAAAGTTAACGACGGAGAGGGTGGTTTGAGCAGAAGGGGTTGTGTGTGTGTGTGTGGGGGGGGGGGGGGGGGGGGGTGGGGGGTGGGCGTGGAGGGGGTTTTTGGGTTGTTGCTACTTGCTAGGAGGGGAGATCGGGGGTAGGGTTGTTTCTGGGAAAGGGAGATTAGGCCGCCGGGGGTGTGGGTGTGCCAGGGAGAAATGGGTGCGAGGAATAGGATTGGAAGTGAAAAATCTGTAGGAGTTCGGGGAAGGGTTGGATGGGGGTTTGGCAGAGAGGGGGGGGGGGTGTCCTGGCTGTGGGTTGGCGGTGGGATTAACCTTGTGTGTTTTTGGTTAAACTTTTTTGTTTTTAGATATGATTGCCATATTTAATTAAAATATTAAACGATAAACTTTTATGTTGCTCGTGTGGGGCTTACATATAAGAAAATCAATAGGTTCCTCACATGCCATGCCTTGGATGGAAAATTTGACAGACTTGATGAGGGGGTAAAGTGGGACCGAAAAGTGCATTTAGGGGGATTGGGTTAAAGCGACTTTCGGGGTTAAGTGGGATTAGAGACATCTTTCAAGGGTGGATACAATAAGTAAGCCTAATCTATATTATCCATTATTTGGGGTGCATTTACGCATAGGATGTGCCTGACAGCATTATTTTCTCTTGTTAATGCTGAGTTAAATTTGCAGATCAAAGCATCCCAAAACTGTGCTGATTATGGATGAGGTTGATGGGATGTCTGCTGGAGATCGGGGTGGAGTTGCTGATCTTATTGCTAGCATAAAGATTTCAAAAATTCCTATTATCTGCATTTGTAATGATCGTTATAGTCAGAAACTGAAAAGTCTTGTGAACTACTGTTTGCTTCTCAACTTTCGCAAACCTACCAAGCAGCAGGTCTCCTCCACCCTCACAAATTGTCTGTACTTCTGTATATTTGAGTATTTGGAAGAATGTTCATATTTTTTCTTCTAGTCACTTGCACATTTACTTATTGGTTCTTAATCATGCCTTCTTGTTGAAGGTTTTTTTTTTTTTTTTTTTTTTTTTTTTTCTTTTTGGCATACATTTGCCGCATTCAGGAATACAAACTGACACATGGGATGTAAATTTGTTTATGCTGCATAACTTAAGCAACATTTTTTTTTCAATAAAGTCGTTGACTAATGTTTTTCAAGAATTCTACAACATACTAAAATAATGTAATCTTATAATGTTTGTTGTGCTGTGATGAAGAATATTAACTGTGATCGTTAAACAAGTGGGTTGACATCATGACGTATTATTTTTATCGACTCCATTTGCAAGATTAAAATTAATTTTCAACTATAAAACTCTGCAATAGTGATTCCATTTGCAAGATTTTGTTTAGATTGTGTTTATACATTGCATGGATAAGGAAATTGCATTTGAGATTTTGTCAAGCGATTTTTATTTTTTTAGAAACTTCAGGCTTTTTGTCACTTATATTTGACATGCCTTCGAAGAATAATGTTTGAATAAGGTTGTTGCCACTTTGCTGTTATTAAATTTTGTTCATGGTTTGTAGATGGCAAAGAGGTTGATGCAAGTTGCAAATGCTGAAGGCCTTCAAGTTAATGAGGTAAGTACTTTATAACTCTGAGTGCATTTTTTCCCATGGTGATGGAAGTACACTATTTGGTGTTTTCATCTACTATAATGCTACAGAAGCTTGGATTCACTAAAATATCACGTGGGACACAACTTCTGCTGTTGTAATGCACTATACTGTAGAATCGTATCATTTTAGTTTTTTCTCTCCCCCCCCTTTCCTCTTTTAATTTGGCCGGTTCTTGATAGTGTAGTTGGTTCTCCATTTTCTCTTTTCTCCCTTATTTTTCTTGTAGTTGTTTTTCTTTTTCCTTGGGATGAGATGTTTTTGGGACCTAACTCAGTTTAGGTATTGATTCTTTTTTGTTTAGTGGTAACCTTCATAATCATTTTTCTACTATGGTTTTACATGTGATCAGGTATCTCGCTTCTCTGGTTTCTGACATGTACCTCAAGATTCTTCTCCCCCCTTGTTGATTAATTTTCTATTCATTGTCTCAGATTGCTCTTGAGGAACTTGCAGAAAAAGTTAATGGAGACATGCGAATGGCAGTTAACCAATTGCAATATATGAGCCTCTCAATGTCAATCATTAAATATGATGATGTACGGCAGCGCTTATCAAGCAGTTCAAAGGATGAAGATATTTCACCATTCACAGCTGTTGACAAGTATGGCAGCAAAGTTCTCTTTTTGACTCTGGTTCTCTGCATCTTGTTGTCTTTTGAATCTCTTATATGCCTGTCTCCTCTTTTTCATATGCATTTTGAATTTTCTAAACTTGGTTTCTTGATTGATATATGCATCACCATTTGAGTTGTTTGAACCATGTTTTGAGCTTCACTGCTTTGTTCTCAATTATATACATAAATATTTTTTCGTTTGCAATCACAAATCAGAACAACTTATTGCGCTGAACCCAATCACTTTTAAAAAAAATTAAACGTTATTTTATGAGAACTGAAGTTTTCCATCTACCATACAAAAAGAATGCAAACGCAATGCATAAGCTTAAATAAGTACAGCCGTCCAATCTGCAAAAATATGATATTTCTGTAAACACAGAAGAGAGCTGATAATGATTGTCCAAAACCTCAATTTATCCCACAAAACTGATACTGTCACCCAAAATCTTACATGATCATCCCACAAAACTCCACTGTCTCGATGCTCAAAACCTTACTTTATCCCATACAATCTTTGACATTTATTTTATGACCAGATACGGTATTTTTGTTTCTCTTATATCAAGAAATATAGGGGCTCTCAGAGTGCCATCCTTCACAAGTTCTGATTGATCCATTAGGGGCCATGAAAAGTAACCAGGTGCACGATGCTGACATGTCTTTTCTGTTGCAGGCTGTTTGGTTTTAATGCTGGAAAGTTGCGAATGGATGAGCGTGTTGACCTGAGCATGAGTGATCCTGACCTAGTCCTTCTTCTAATCCAGGTTCTTCCTTTGCTAGGACACTTGCTTTTTGGCTGGCATATACTGAATAAAAAATGCTATAACAAACAGTGCAAACTTTAGTATGTTTTGTTTCACTATTGAATACTAGGAGGAACAAAAGACTTGCAGTGTTTACTGTCAACATGATGCATAGGTTCATTCGAAAGCTATGACAATAACGTCAGGAATGGAGTTTTTATTGTAAAAATATGACTGCGTGACGCTTGACCTGGTAATGCTTTTCCGTTGGAGATGATATTAATTTTTTTTTTTTTTTTTTTTTGGGGGGGGGGGGGGGGGGGTGTGGTGGTGTGTGGGGAATTGGGAGGGGGGCAGAATTTCGAAGGTACACACTTATCTAGTAGGAGCATAATTTGTGGGAAACACTTTTTTGAAATTTCTTTGATGTTTTATTAATGTATTTCACAAATCTGAATGCAATTTCCGATACAAATAAAGAAATTAACTAAAAAAAAAGGAGATGAGTGATATACACTATACACCTTAAAAATGATTCCAAGACTCACATGCTGAACCGTCCTGACTGGGGGTGGGGGGGCGGGCAGGGTATGGGGAGGGGGACAGAATTTCGAAGGTACACTTACCTAGTAGGAGCATAATTTGTGGGAGACTTTTTTGAAATTTCTTTGATGTTTTATTAACTTATTTCACAAATCCGAACGCAATTTCCGATACAAATAAAGAAATTAACTAAAAAAAAGGAGATGAATGATATACACCATACATCTTAAAAATGATTCCAAGACTCACATGCTGAACTGTCCTGACTGTCTTTACAACCTTTCACATACTGAACTCTTACAAAATTGAACTTGCATCAATATGAAGAATTGTTTTTAACATTTGTATCTTGACTCTGACCAAAAATAGAAGATAAAAGAGAAAAAGGAATATCTGTATCATGAGATGTAATTTTGAATATTTCGTAATTTGGTACAATAACAATGACGTAGAAAGAAAAGATCAAAATTATCAGATTCTCGCACTCATCTCCCTCTATCTCTCTTCCCATGAGGCTTAGCGTGTTCTTACTTCACATCTTCTACAATTTTCAAATCTTGTTAGTTGATTTAAGATCTTAGTGCTGCTTGTTCCGATGCAAATGACAAGAATCAGAATGTTATTCTCCTTATCTTCTTTTATGTAATGATCAATAAATTCTGTTTAATTCTATGTCAGATTCTTGATGGACTTGGATGCAAAGTTGCATTCACTTGAACATTGAATCTACTTATGCTTCTGCACCCATCAAATTTTATAAACTGCACCCTTTAATTCTTTTTTTTTTTTCCTTCTCCAAATGATCAAAGTTTGAATATTCTAATATATTAGTTCTCTTTTTCAATTTCTGGCAGGAAAATTATATCAACTATAGGCCAAGTTCGGCTGTTAAAGATGATAGTGGGATAAAACGTATGAACTTGATTGCCCGTGCCGCTGAGTCTATTGGCAATGGAGATATTTTCAATGTACAGATTAGAAAATATCGGCACTGGCAGCTTTCCCAAAGTGCTTGTCTTTCATCCTCTATAATTCCGTATGTTTCTTCGCATCAGCTCCGGAAGTTGAGATAATTTCTTTGAGTTAATTCATAATTTCTGATTCGTGGTATTATTTTTTATTTATAACCAGTGCTGCATTGTTGCGGGGGCAGAGAGAGACACTTGAGCAGGTAATTTATTTCCTTTTCTTTGCAAGTTTATAAATTTAAAGAGTGTTAACTGGTCCTCTCTTTGGCCTTGAAAATGTGTACATTCTGTGTGCTCCAGCAGTGCACATATTGTTGCAGCCTTCATAAAAATGGTCTATAATGATTTTTTTTTTTTTTTTTGTTGATATTCACATTTTATTTGTACAGCTTTCCTATGATCCCATTACACCCAGAAAGCCACACAGAGGGGTGACATGATATTAGGGATCTTGTTTTATAGACTTGTGCTTGTGTATAGAACTGTTAAGAAGTTTTTATGTCATTGGACCACTGGTTCAACTTAAAATCGCATTGGTAAAAAGAAACTTAATTATCCCATTTCTTTACTTTATAAAATTTGTTTTTGGGTTATATATCTTCTAAGTGTTTTGAAATATTCATGTTATACATGCATCAACGTTTATGCTTACCTTCACAAGTTTACCTTATTGTGCAGGGAGAAAGGAATTTTAATAGATTTGGAGGGTGGCTGGGAAAGAACTCAACATTAGGAAAAAATCTTAGGCTCTTGGAAGATTTGCATGTCCATCTTCTTGCTTCTCGTGAATCTAGTTCGGGGAGGTAGTTTCTGTTCTATGTTTGAATTTTTGGTCACTAACCTAATGCATTTGAGTTTGGTGTCAAGGATTGGATTGGATGGGAGAAGTCACTTGATTCAACTTCGAAATTTTTTCCATGTTGAAGGTAGAAGATGGACTAGTCATGAAGGAAACTTATCCTTGTCAATCCTTCATAAATCCATCTTCTACCTAAACTTGGACAAACCTTGGAAGTTACATCCGTTTCTTCATTCAACAATCAACATACATTGAATCTAGTGACTTCTCCAATCCAATCCCAGACACAAACAAGGCCATAATGCCCAGCGTTATTGACTTATATAAGGACTATACTACCAATGGTGTTTATATGGAACCCTAGAACTTTAGATCCATCTGGAAAGTTGTAAACTTATATTTTCTTGTGCGTGCATGGCCATTGTTTCTTCTGTTTTCAGTCCTACTGACTTGAAAATTTTGGAAATTTCCAATTGTTGAATTATGTTTGATATATTGTATTGGATTCCTGAAATTTTATCATGTAGTTGTGACAAAAAAGAACTAAAAAGTTTGTCATGTCAAGGTTTTATAGTGAATGTGTCCTTTCAAGACCACTATCTCTCCCTCCCGTCCTCTCTCTCTACCACTCTGTTTTTATTTTATTTGTCTTATTTTGTGTCCCTTGGAAGCTTTTTAATTTCTCGTTTGTAAATTGTTTAGGGAAACACTGCGAATTGAATACCTTTCTCTTCTTCTGAAACGATTGACCGTGCCTCTCCGTGAACTGCCTAAGGTTGGAGATAGTCTATTTTAGTATATGAAGATTTATTTTAATTGCAAAGTATGTAAAACAGTTGGATTGATGATCAGTAATAAATCCATCTTGTGTGTTAAAAAAATATCAGGATGAAGCTGTGCAGGAAGTTGTGGAGTTCATGAATACTTACTCCATTAGTCAGGATGACTTTGATACTATTGTGGAGTTATCCAAATTTCAGGTAACCCTTGGTGCAGGCTTGGTTGTTGCTATACTGCTTCAAAATTTTACAGGTTTTCTCATCGATAAGCCATTTATCAGGGGCATCCAAATCCGCTAGATGGCATACTGCCTGCTGTAAAATCAGCTCTGACAAAAGCATACAAAGAAGGAAGCAAAACAAGGATGGTACGAGCTGCAGATTTTGTTACTATTCCTGGAATGAAAAAGGTCCCTAAGAAGAGGATTGCTGTGCTTTTAGAACCATCTGATGATGTCATTGGTGAGAACAATGATGATACTTTTGTTCAGAGTGATGATGAAAATTCGTCAGATACAGAGGACTTGGGTAAGTTTCTGTCATCATTATGCTGCTCCTCTTTAATAGATAATTCATTTTGCTGGACTACTTTAGTTTTAGGATTATTTTCACAACCATAAATGGCCATTTTGCTCTGCAGTGTATCTTGTGAAAAGGTGTTGCCTTAAGATGTTTCTGGAATAGAAAGCTCTATCACTATTAGGGTGTGTTTGTTTACCTTCATTAAGTTTCACTAGACTAGACTACACTAAAACTTAGTGAAATTTTGTGTTTGTTACCGGGAGGGATTAGGTTTAATGAGATTAGCTTTCACTCGCACGGACTAAAGGCCTCTCTAGCCGGCCTTAGTGAGTCTCCTCGAATCCTATGGGATTGCTAAGACCGTGCGCTCTCTCATCCTTATACGCTCAACTCCTCTCTCTCTTGCGTCGGCCGATCGACTCCTATCGCGTTCTCATCCTGCTCGACGACCTCGCCAGACCATCCCACCGACCACTGAAACTCAAGTCGCAGATAATTGTTGATGTTTATGAAATCATAGATTTTGTATTTCACAGATGTGAAAGTCCCCTATTTTTTGTTCTCTTGCCGCTTGATTTCGGTTTTTCTCTTTGGTACTTGCTCTAACTCTCACAAGATTTGCAATTTCTGCTAATGGTGATTGGAATTGTGCTGTTGTCTTGGAATTCGGTTTTTTTTTCTTTTTTAATCAATTTTTCTGTAAATTTGGTGTTATGATTTGTGTAAATTGCTGCTATAGTGTTGTAGGCGTTTAGCAATTTCTGCAATTTTTTTAGCAAAATGGGTATATTTCGGTTTCCAATTTCTGCAATTTCATTTACGATTACTGTTAGCTCGACATTTCTTCACATCATCCAGTTTGCTTCTGTTTTGTATCCAATTCATTATTCGAATATGTTTTTGAGACCAAAATTTGGTTTGCTGATTACCTTTTTGTTTTCCTTCATAATTTAGTCCAGGACATATAGTTTGCTGCTGCACCAAACACTTCACTATTTTTGTCCTGGTTAGTCCAAGCCAAGCCACTCCAGTTTAATCTCAGAAGTTAGTCCAGTCCTAGATAGTCTGTTGCAACAAACGTACCCTTATTCTGTAAAATAAGAATGGTGCATGCTAACATGTTGTACTCCATAAGAAATGGAGGGCATGTTCCATGCTATCTGGGATTCTGAAATCGCAGATTGGAAAGTAAATACAGGGAACGCTTCTAGAAATGTTCTTTCGTGACCTGTTGATATATTATGGCCTGTGAGTGTGCATCTCTGTGGAATATTGAAATATTGTTCTAGGATTTTGCTCTGTTTATTGTCAGGAAACTCGGACGCCACCAGAAATGGTTTGTTTTAGGATTACTGGAATTCTCTATTATATTGCCGGAAGAAACTTACTCGTGAAAAAGGTTAATTATGATATTAGGGTTGTAAATGGAACTAAAGATTATGCGAGCTAGTTTGCTTCTGGATACCATCTGACTTCTTGGTGCTCATTTAGTGATTGTTTTATTTTTTTCACAATTTGTCAGAAGGTTCTGCTGTTGGTGAAAAGCTGCAAAAGGAACTGCAAAGTTTGAACACCAAAGGTAACTGGTAGTATCCTACATGGATGCGACTAAATTCGAAAGCTCATAGGTTGATTTATGTGTTCATTTAGATGTATGTTATTCCAGAATGCATGATTTATGTGTTCCTCATACTATGCAGGAGTGCAAGTACAATTCGATTTGAAGGGTGCACCAAATTCAAGTGCAAAGAAGACACCGGCTGGCAGAGGTAGAGGTGGTTCTGCTGCTGCCAGCGTGAAAAATGGTGGCCGAGGTTCAGGAGCTGGTGCCAAGAGAAAGAGATGAAGGGAGATGAAAGAAGAGATGGAACTTTTCCTTTCTATGGCGTTGGCAGGTTTTATAGGCAGATGTAAATAGATATTTCCTCCGTACATACGTATTTTTGGTAGGTGAGGAATGGTAGGATCTCCGGTTTTAGTTTTAGTTTACAAGGTTGATAGTTGATGCTCGACTCCCGGATTTAGGGCCTCCTTTGACAAGTGTTTTTGAACACTTGAAAGCATTTTTAGATAAAATGTTTTTGGGAGGAAGCACTTCAAGTGTTTTGGGGGAACCCAAAAACATTATCTCTAAAACCGGTTTTAGTCATTTAAAAACACGTTGTCAAACGAGATCTTATAGTTTTGACTGGAGTAGCGTCTTTTAGAAATATGGTAAGACGCAGGCTAGTCAAGTTGACTAGAACAACATAATCCTCATCATGCAAGTTCGAATTGCTCTCTACGTAGTTTAATTTAGATTAGATCAAATTATAATATAGCTGATTGGACTGAGCGAGAGAGGGCCTGGGCAGCAACAATAACTACCCTCCTCGTACAACACGGTGGTTGAGGGCGGAGTGTGGTCATTGTGATGGTCGTCTGCCCTAAATGCTTGTAATACATTTACTGAAACAAATTAAGCAAGAAAACCACCAAAATTTAAGAACAAATTTAATATCACAGAGCCAACAACTTTTATACTTCGCCAGTCAACTGCATAAACACACCTCGTCATTAGGCAATGTACACCAGCAAACCCATATGCTAAGGAATTTTTTTGTTGCAGTTGTTTGAGAATCATAGGTTACACTTGCACCCCAGATAAATAAAACTTCTTTATTTTTTTGTTGTATTTAGGATAATAAATTATATGTTTATGCCATACTTGCACCCCAGGTAAATAAAACTTCTTTATCAATGGATTGTGCCAATGTTTGGTTCAAATTAGGTTATTTTTACTGTCTTGCATGTTAAGGCCCAGAAACTACTAAGATGAGGTTGGATATAAACTAATTATATTCAAACATACCAGTGTGGTCATTCACGAATAGAAAAGTAAAGACGGTATGTAAAAAAATTAAATTGATAAAATAGTACTGAATATCGCAAAACAAGTAAAATATATACAAAAATGAACTTAAAACATCGATAAAACTCTTATCGGATTCAATTCAAGGCCCTTATATTGGGTTTTAAAGATGCTTCCTTGTGAAGGGTACCAACCAAAAAGATCTAACTTATCTTAAGGTTCGTAAATCGATGCTACACCAAGTAGTGTAGTAGAGCAAACTCTAATTGGTCTTAGAGTCTAAAGGAGAGGTTCCTAAGGTCTAATTGGCAGTCGAGCTTGACATTCCAATTTTCATCCCTGACAACTTGTACGACATCTGGTTCGACTCTTTTAGATCTAAGAATCCGAAAACTTTGTTCGTGAGAATCGGCTTCATATGTTCAAACCTAGATGGCTTTTAAAAAAATAATAATAGGTAAAGAAAAAATAGAGAAATTCTAAGGAGTCTCTCTTAAATTGTGATTCTCTATGAACTTTCTGTCACCTTAAAGTCAAAATGACCACATAAGCAATAACGGTAAAAAAAGATAGCAGCAATGTTTTCCAACCGAGAAGCCAAATCTGATGTGGCATGATATGAAATGACATCTCTCTCCCTTGCTGCCAAATTTGACAACAACTTCAAATTTTTTTAATTAATTATTAAATAGCTTGAATGTTAAAATGGTCCCTATGTTTAAGTGAATGGGTCAATTTAGTCTATGTATTCAATTTGGCCAATTTGATCTTTGTCTTATCTCTGTTAGCCAATTAAGGACATTTCCATATAATCTCTGTAAAAAAAATATAAAATATTATAAACTTATATATAAAATTATAATTTATTTGATTTAAAATGAAATAAAATTAAAAAATAAAAGAAAAATTATTCTCCTCCCAACTCTCTAACCTCCTCCCTAACATTATCCCCTCTTTTTTTTTTTTTATATCACAACCTTAATCATTTTTCAGAATTGAAAGTTTTATTTCTTATACGAGTTATTTCTCGTTGATTTGCATTTTTCTGAAAAGAGAAAGAGTAATTATTTCTCATATGATTTTTCTTACAAATTTTTAAAAGAGATTGGAAATGTCATTAATTGGCTAACGAAGACAACCGGGAGGACTATGATAGCCAAATCGAAAACACAGGGACTAAATTGGTCATATGACTATAACACAGGGACAATTGTGACATTTAATCCTTATTAAATACTTTTTATTAATTTTTTATTGGTTTAAAGCCTTGCCCTTTAATTTCTTTTCATTACCAATGCAATGTATAAATATTTTTATACCTTTTAATTCACTTTCTTTTATTACCAATGCAAATAAAATAAATATGAAGTTTTATTTTATGTTAAAAGTTTGACATATTGAATAGAAACAGAATTTTAAAAGATATCAAAATGTCACATAAACTGTCAAATTTAAATTTTATATTTAAAATTTAACATCTTTTTTGAGAATGGTCTTAGTGTTTAATATTAATTTTCGTACCAACAATATAGGGAACTATTATTAACACTCCAAATATCTCATTCTACACTCCTCATAAGTGTAGTTTTCTTACTAATTATAGAAAGTTTGAAGTGCAAAATGAGATTTTTAGAGTGCCAATAACAATTCCCTGAGTATAAACATAGTGAAAAAAACATTAATGTTTGGGTGAAGAAATTTAAAATTATTAAGGAATTTAAAAATGACGAAAATTGAAATGACGAGATTTTATTTTCTAGAATTTGTAAATTTCCTTGTTTGGTTAACCTAAAAGAACAATGGAATTGAATACGGAATTTGTTATTTTTAAACTATCAATCATAGAAATTAAGAAATGACACCTATTTACATGGAATTTGAACTTGGGATTTGGAGGTCCCAAATTCCAAGTTTTTTTTTCCACGCGGAAATTCTAAATTTCTATGTTTATGAATCCAAATAAGAGAATTAGTGCCTGTCAATTTATAAATTCTAACTTTTACCAAAATTCTATATTTATTTCCTTCATCCAAACGTAGTGTAAGAGCTACAGGGTCGCACTTTTGACATTTCTCAACAAAATAAATGTGTAAGTGTAACCAGACGTTTGGCGGAGCTGACGGAACCATTACCAGACTGATTTTTATTTTTCTGTCAAAGAACCGTTACAGACTGATGACAATGCCACAATTTCCCAAGTGACCGAATCCCTAACCCTGTTAACCCTTCCGTTTCCATCTCCAACGTTCCGTCACTTAACCTCAAACGCCGTCGTCTCCGTCTCTCTCATCAATCTCAAACCCTAACGCTAATGGCTTCCTCCGACAACTTCCCGATGATCGACGCCTCCTCTCACCTCCCAGCTCCAACACGCCCCGGCGACGCCATCGACTCCGCCGCCGCTGCCAACAACCGCAATTTCTTCCCTCCACCCTTCCCCGACGACATTGATCGGAGTCCGAACCCGACCCGAAACTCCAACACTAAACGGAGCTCTTACTACAATAAAAGATTCAAATCTTCCTCCGCTAACCCTAACCCTAACCCTACCACCAGCACCACCGAAGCCGAGTCGTCCAGCGGGCCCGAAACGGCATCGCAGCGAGGTGAGTATCGGAAGGACCGCGAGGAGTGGAGCGACACTGCCATCGGGTGCCTTCTAGAAGCTTACACCGAGAAATTCAACCAGCTGAACAGGGGAAACCTGCGGGGGAGGGACTGGGAGGAGGTGGCGGAGATGCTCAGCGAGCGGTGTGGGACCGGCGGTGCCAATAAGTCGGCGTACAAGACGGTAGAGCAGTGTAAGAATAAGATTGACAATTTGAAGAAAAGGTACAAGGTGGAGCTGCAGAGGATTACTAGTAGTGGGATGGGTGCCAGTCACTGGCATTGGTTTAAGAAGCTTGAGGTCATTTTGGGGAGTTCCGTTGCTGCGAAAGGTGGCGGTGGTTCGGACGAGGAGCGCAGCGTGGGCAGAGCCGGTGGTAATGTGGCTAAGCAACTGAAGAGGTATTGTAAATTGTAGTAATAAATATGGTTCAAGTTTTTGGTTGAATCCAAGAAACTTTGCTCTGCTAGGTTTTTAATTTTGGATGAACCATGAGAACGTGAAATATACGAAACTGGTTGAACTTGTTTCTCTAGTTAGTGTTTGCTTCTGTTCATGTCATGAATCGGATATGCTTGTGCCATTGGACTTTTAAAAAGTGCGCCCGCCGGAATAAAGTTATTGGCATTGGTTCCATGTTTCGGTATTGTTACTGGTTGTATATGATGGTGGAACTACTTTATAGGGTTTCTTGCTCATATGAGTAAAAATGACATGTCGCGTGTGCTCGGTTAATGATTATTGGTTTTCTTTTCACAAACAAAACATCTCATGGAGCGGCAGATATTTCTGTTGGCAGATACACGCCAGGCAGCGCTGCTTTTGGAAACAACCTGAAAGCCAAGTCGATGCCAAATCTAAAATGGCGAAGAGTAATGCTTAAAATTAGTGGTGCTGCATTAGCTGGGGACTGCCAGAGTATCGACCCCAAGGTGCGAGTTTTAGCTAATACGCTACTGAGTTTTATAATGTTAGATTATTTGTGCTGAATAAATGAGCTGACCTGCTTCTCTCTGTAATTAGGTAGCAATGCAGATTGCTGGGGAAGTGGCAAGAGCTTGCCACCTTGGAGTGGAGGTATTTCCTGAACGTGTATTTCTTTTTTACCAATGGTTCTGCTTCCGGTACTTTGTAATGTATTGGTTTGTGTCATAACTTAGTGTTTTGTATTCTATCCTTTCTAAAGGTAGCGATTGTTGTCGGAGGCCGTAATGTCTTTTGTGGAGAGACATGGGTGTCTTCTACTGGATTGGATAGGTCTACAGCATACCATATTGGGTAATGTCCAAATTTTTTTTCTTTGTGTGGTCTACTTCTGTTCAATTATAATGCTTGAATATCATCTTCATTATGTTCCAATGGTCAATAAGCAACAACATCAAATTTCTAGTTTTGACAGTGTCGTAACGGTTTAGTTATTACTTTTATTTCCAAATTTTATTCTGTCAACTTGGTCAGTAGTCAAATACAATGTTACATAATCAAAACTAGGTTGGGGTACTTAAAGGGAGCTGCGCTTTTGATTCGAGCGTGTTGTTTAGTGGCCTCTGTGGATCTTTAGGCTTGGTTGTAAAATTGCTGGGTTTGCTAGGTTTCACATATGTGGCTGTCTGTGCAGAAGTTTTGCAGGGGTCGCTAATATCTGTTAGTCTGAATCCTCTGTCTACTTCAGTCCAGAAAAATAAAATCCCTTCTTTGCTTCCATCTTTGCAGTTATATCTCAACTTCTTTTACAAATAAATAAGTCAAAGTACTTATAAAATCTGAATTGGTAAATGCATGCTGTTTCTCTAACGTTGATTTCTCATCAGTATGATGGCAACAGTTATGAATTCTGTAATACTTCAATCAGCTTTAGAGAAGGTGGGTCTTCAGGCACGTGTTCAAACATCATTAACAATCCCAGAGGTTTCTGAGCCATATAACAGGCTTCGAGCCATACGACATCTTGAGAAAGGAAGAGTTGTTATATTTGGTGGTACTGGTGCCGGCACTGGAAATTATCTATTCACAACTGATACTGCAGCAGCCTTGCGAGCATCTGAGAGTAGGAGTCTACCCTGCCCCCTATGTATTTCTTTTGTATTCTACTTATTTTATTTTTCTCTATGCTTTTTTTCCTTTATTTTTCTATTTCATCTATCAACCTATATATATATATATATATATATTAATATAATATTATATAATTATTTTATTCTGGTGTCAGTTAATGCAGAGGCAGTCGTCAAGGGCACAAACTTGAATGGCATATATGACTCTCATCCTGGTAGCAACAGTGCTAGTGTTGATATAATTTGCTATAGGGAGGTTGTTCCTAGCAGTAATACCTCCATGGATGCCATGGCATTAACATATTGCGAAGAGAATCGAATTCCGGGTTGGTCTCATTCTTTCCTAATTGCACATGTTTTAGCAAATGTTAAACCGTCTTTTAACTAAAAATAATGTGCTTTCTCTGTAGTTGTGATTTTCAATCTGCTGGAACCTGGAAATATTTCAAGAGCTCTATGTGGAGAACAAGTTGGCACTTTGATTGATCAGACTGGAAGGATTATTTAATGCATATGGAGCCATTCCTTCCGGTGTTTGGGAAGTACAGTGTAATTTAATACGAAATACTGGTTGTCCACTCGATGGTCCGATAAGTATGTCAGAGTTCCTGTTTCTGTGGTTCCCCTTGTGTTTGCATCGACATGTAATTTCTCTCAGGAAACTTGAGAGTATGTCAGAGAAAGCGATGAAGCAGGTGAGGTATGGCTGTTGGTTTTGTTGTGAATGCAAAATCATGTAGTAAGGAAGCAAGCGGGGTAAGGCCGGTTTAATGTAGATGTGAACGGCTGTGAAGAAAACAAGGAAGCAGGCGTGTAACTGGTAAAGCATTTCTTTAGTTGTAAATGTAAACAGAGTGTATTAATAGCAAGTCTTTTCTAAAATGACTAATGGGATTACAAATGTGATCGCCTGTTTTCAAGCAGTTCTTGACAATCATCACGTGAGTTTACGTTTTGTGTATCTTACTGTTTCATTTTTGTTTGGTACACCAGAGCTGAAAGTTTGAGTAAATATCAGTGGATGGGTGTTGAGTATTGCAAGAGAGATAGGATACGCTTATGCCTCATAGTTCACATTGAATGGCGGAGTTTCGTGTTCTACAGATACCGATGACGTGCAACGCTCACCGGCCGTGCATCAACGATGGTAGGGGGTGTTCATGAGTTGGGGTTCTGATTTAGGATTGTGAAATCAAAATAATGTTAGTGGGTGGAAGATTAAAGGGCTAAAATCAAGGAGGTTTATTTCACTTTAAGAATGTTTAGGTGATCGTACCTCAGTTAAGAGAAGATTAATGCACAGGGTTCTTATCGAAATGCATTCTGCGAGTCGTTGATACAATGTAATCGCGATTTTAAGCGTCACCGGTTTGGCAAATCGCTACTTTCGCACACGAATCGATCGACATGGCACCCGTACACCACATTTACAATTCACACGGGTATGAATATTTGACAAAAAAAGGGGGCTCAATTGAAACAATTACAAAATCATTTAAGTCGGTCCGGATTTTCACTAAAAGTAAAATTTTATTGCATCCGAAGTCCTGGTATACATCATTACTGGCAAAAACAACGTTACAATACATAAATCGGCTCGAAAACTAACCTCATTTAGGAGATAAAATTGCCTCATTTACAATTAACCGTACAAGCACCAACCAAAAATGTAATGAGCCACTTAGTACTACAATGTAGTAGTGTTCATCTTCACTTGAGAGTCCTCACTCCTCAGCTAACTCTACATCCTCTGTACAATATATCTTGAGACCCATATTCATATTATCGGTCCGTCCTTCGTCGTTCCTCTCGTGTTCACTTTAGGGCATCCTACCAAAAATCTTGGAACTATCCTAAAAGAAACTTTGAACTCTATATGGGAATTTCCAACGTTGCAGGAGTAGTGAGGTTGGTCTGATACCTCCAAGAATGCTCCAAGAGAGATTATATTCACATACCCCAAATTACTTCTCTCACACATTTTTAATTTTTTAATATTTTCTACACACCACTAACACTTGATAAAAAATTATTAAAAAATTAAAAAGATATGGAAGAAGTAATTTGGGATGTGTGAATATAATCTCCCATGCTCCAAATTTAGATACTATTATTTCGGCTGGAAATAGCTATCGTAAATAGAAAGTTTATCAAAATCCTCGTAGTTAGCCTTTAGTCCGAGAAATTGGCTACCCAACTGAGCACAACCAGCGTCTGGCCACCGGCAGCCCCCACCTCGCATGCGTAACGGGCATAACGTTTCACATACTCGCCCGACTGGGTTGCTGGAAGCATCATCATCTGCCATAACTGTGATCGAAACAGAGAGGTCTGATTTCTCATCGCGCTGCACGGTGCCATCCGCTTCTCTTTTTAAATAGTAAGGTGACTTGTGCGAAGGTTCAATTTGGCTGCTCTCGATGTCAACGGTGCAATCTCCGCTGTTTGAAAAGTGGACCTTGCATCCCAGTGATTGTACAGCTCGCTTTATGGCCTCACTTTCCTTGGTTGCCCTCCTGGCCATCTGCTTAACTGAGCTGCTAACTTGCTTCTCATTTTGCAGTTCTGCGGTTAATGATTCCATCATGGTGGCGATTTCTTTAGCTTTCCTTTCTGCCATTTCTTTTTCCTGCAAGGAGTATTAGAGCCAGTGTAAAATCTTATTATTCAAGTCGCATAAGCAAAGGTAACATGCCATTTAAGTTTTGGGAAACAAACGATCAGAGATGTACGAAACATAAACCACCATCTTCCACAAACATATTAGGCTTGCCAATAAACAAAAATTTATCAACTATACCAATCTCTCGTTGGCCTTTAAAATGTTTAGATCAACATCATTGACCTGCTTGACACAAGTACTCATTATATTCAGGTTGATTTACCAAATAATTGACCTACAATCCAAGCAATAAAATAATCATGTCATATTGACATGAAGAATGGCAAAAATGCCGAAAAGCCACTCGGGCTCAATTTCACAAACAACAATCTACAGTAAAAAGTTTTGGCTGACATGATGATCAATGGCAACTGACAGATATTATGAATAAAAGATTTAACCACAAATATTTCAAATTGTTTTTGTTTTCATTTCCTAATCCAGATTGTATGCCTTCTTGCTGCAGTTTAGCTAGAATCTTGATCAGTTGGTTTTTCAGTTTTCCTAGAGACCAAAGAGAGCCTTATTCTTGAATTTCTATTACCCAAAAAAATGGGGCAACCTAAACACGACGTAATTATTAAATAGGCCAGATACAACATGGCGCAATTGCAAGCCCTACACAAGATCAAGAACGCTCCCTCTCTTAGAATAAGACTAGAGAAGGGGATTTAGAGGAAAAATTTTAGAAGCCAGAATCCAGAAGTAAGAATTATTACCTTTTGTAGTTCAGAGAACTTAACATCCATTTGCCTAAATTGAGCTTCAACCCCTCCAGTTTGAACCTCTGAGGGACAAGCCCAACGAAGATGGAATTGAGGCCAGAGAGTTGGTGCTAAAGCTGCTGCTGGAGGTAACAGTGGACCATCGTGTTTTAATGGATCATAAAAGTAGTTATAGTGCACATGAGAACTTCCCTGTGAAGCACGTAAATCAGCCAAATATGCCCACATGCATCCACAAGCTTCAGGTACACCACATAGCTGCCTCTCCCTTTCACTGAAATACATAAGCAATCGGGAAAAAGTACTTTTAGTACTTGAATAATAGTTTGCGTCAGAAGTCTCTGGGTCAACTATTCTATCAAATAACTTTTGCACGGTCAACTTGTTTTTCGAGAAGAGACGCAAAACATGCTTTATTTCAAACTTCTTACCTATTACAGAAGAAGTTTCCAAAGCGACACGATAGAACACAGTCCAATAGATCAACCAGAAATGCCTTGTAAAAAAAATAGTAGAAACTTTAATGAGATATTGTTCCCTGACCACAAAGGAAGATTATAAAAACAGATAAAGTTGTTCCATGACACATTCAACTGCATTCGTGAGCAGTTTCATCAACAAAAGAAAAATGAGTGCACTTATGAAAGAAGGATGCATACCGAAGAGAACTCAAAAGAAAAAGGATACATCCGCAGCAATTGTGAAACACAATCAACCCACTGCATCAGAAAAGCATAAGATTAGTGACTATACAGCAGAGAAAAGAAATAAAAAAAAAGTTCTGGTGCAACATGTTCGAAATCTCAGACCATTCCTCAAAATTAAGCACTTGGCGTTGTTTCAAGTGGAAAGGACAAACTTGACAGAAAAATGTAAGTTGACTGAGAGTGAACCGCTGCAGAAATTCAACAGAGAAGTAGTAACATTTCTTTGACAATTTTGGTAATACTTGATTGCTTATTGACAGTAACTCTTACATCTCTCAATTAATAAGCGTGGCTTCTCCTATTTACCCACAAGACAACATGAAATAACAAACAAACGATGCATTTCTAACTAGGAACCTCAAAAACATATAGAATTGCACAGGTTGTACTTTATTGTAACCAATGTTGCATGGGTACTCTGTTTTTTTGGGGTTATTGGGAGTATCAGACTCGGATACCCCTTGATTACGTAAAATCGACTATCTGTTGAATACGGATGTTGAGGACACGAGGTGGATACGGTCAAGGATATGATTGGGGTGTTTTGCAACTTCCTTTTAAAGAGGGGTCAGATTGGCTATTTTTGAAAAGGCCAAACGTCACAAATGATCCTTGTGGTTTATGGTAATTGTTACTTTAAGTGCCATGGTTCAAGTTTTGTCAATTTTTCCGTTATGATTTATTTAAGAAACCAACTTTGGTCAAGTGTTCAATTTTCTTCAATTCGTATAACTTGGCATCCACGTGGGCTTCACGTTCAAGAGCATTATCTTCCTCTATCCAATCTCACTTATAAGTTGGTATATGAAACAACTTTTGTGGGTGCATTAGAGAATTGAAACAAAGATTTTTTGGGTTTACTTGAGTGAAATTATCGTGATTCCAGATGATTGTGGGATTGGACATAAAAATACTAAAATGCCCATATACATGACACACGTGGTTGCCAAGTTACACAAAATGATGAAAATTGAACATTTAACTAAATTGATAATAGAAGTAAATCACATGAGAAAATTTTAGTACACCACAAGGACGATGAAGAAGAAGAAAGCCTGTATAAAACTTGAAGATGAATACTTGATTTTATTGTGTTCCATTTGTGTGAATCAATTGATATTTGGTAATATGATGAATGAGTTCTTTTTTGGCTTAGAAGTATAAGAATAGTGAGTTGAATTTTAATGCACTAATTATGTACCAATATAAAAAGGCACACCTGCAGAAATATGGGAGAATAGTTATTTGAATTCTGTGAATGAGAAGGCGCTTGAGATGCTGACTGGCGACTGGGTGATGATTGGAGATTCGGAGCAGAGTACTGCCTTGTTAATTCAGAAGGCATGTTGCCACTTCCTGCTGGCATGCCAACTCGATCTGCAAATGGGTGACCAAATGCTAGCCAATCTTTCTCAACGAGTGCCTGCATCAAAGCAAATAATTAAAATATTTTATAGTCACTTCAAAATCAAAAAGGAAAATTGTGAGTCAAAAGACAGACAACCGTAAACAACCACATGTTTAAACTAAAACACTTCAAGTCATACTTGTGTCTGACTGAAATCAAGTGATAAAAAAAATCTCTGGGTGTGGTCTGATTGCCTTCTACAAATGGGACCCCCACCTATTCCGTAAGGAATTAACAGAGGCCTAGACAATTAGACACAAGTGTTTTAATACTTTAGGTAGTAGTGTTAAAAAAATGGAAAGGTTGTGTCCATTTTTGAAGTGACCCCAAACCTCAGGGGTGTATTTTGTAATTAGCTCTAAAAAACAGTTGATGATTCGACTTAGAATTCACACTTTAATGTACCACTCTAAATCCCCCTAAACCTCACTAAATACAAAACCATTTGTTGATAAAATAAAAATTAGCAGCTGTTCATGCCTGCAGTGCAATTGACACTCCAGTGTCAAAAGTGCAGAAGGACTACCTCCAGAAGGCCCAGAACAGAAAAAGAAATGCACTCCTTTTAACATAAATGTGTTCCTCTTACAGGTTTTTCCATATTTTTCCAAAATAATGCATATACCCATGAAATCGAAGAAAAACTAGCATCACAAAACAGGGTATCTTTCCAAGTATGTCCAGCAGATACCTGAAACCCAGTTAAAGTACGATAGTATGGATCAAGCAACAAATTGGCAAGTGAAATCAGCTGAGTGGTCCTGTCCCATCCATCACTAAACAAAAGAATTGCAAATTTAGAGGTTAAAACACCAAAAATGGACAGATAAAAAAAGAAAAAAGAAAAATGGAAAAACTGAAACAGCCAGTTTGATAAAGTACAAATATAATAGACCTTACCTACAATGTACAAGCACTGATGCCGACTCCAAAGCAACACGAGCAGCAATCCAAGCAGAACCAGCCAAGACACTTTGAACGTGTATTAACCAACCACTGTCCCCCAAAGTTGACACTGAAGCAGACATACTGCTAAGGTTGCCTCCACCCCACGTCCATCCACCATTTCTCTGTCAATATTAACAAGTAAAAAACATAAATTATCTCCCACGTCAAATAACATTTTTTTATTTATTGATCAAGAAAAAGGCCATAACAAACTTGATCTTTCACCACTATAAATTTTATCTAATAAATTTTTTTCCTCTCAAAAGAAAAATATTCACATTCCCTGTTTCTTAGCAAGCCTTAGGACCCGTTGGAAAAGACACTTTGAGACACATGGGGCCACAGGTCCACAACCTCTGAGTTCTCCAAAAGTACTTCCATTTCACTTTCAGATATAATCCATCTACTTTTAGAATTGACGCCTTCTTTTATATTATAAATAACTCCCATTTGGTATCAACCATACTTATTGCGGAGTTTAAAAACCATAATTAAATAAAGTTTTACATGTAGACCTGATATGAGGTCAGCTCTCAAATCCTTACTCTACCCATCAATACAAGTAACTTTGATCTTTGACCAAAAAAAGAGTAGCTTTGATCAACAAATACAACATACTTCATAGCTATGCTATCAGAATATAAAAACTTAGAGAACCACAATTTAACACAAATAAAAAGCCCAGATATTCATAAGATATCAAAACTAACCAAGAAAGATGACATTCCATCCGAAGAAGCTGCACCATGAGTGTCTAAGTAGTCTCTGAGTCGGGCAAAGCTCTCTCTCATCGCATGTATGTTGTCTATCCCAAAAAAAACTATCTGATACGCCCCCAAAAAATAAATAGTATGTTAAAGTTATATAATTTTGATATTACACACCCACAGATGTATAAATAAAAAATCCATAACTTAGAGATACCTCAGATTGAAGATAATTTGAAGATGACTCAGAGCCACCTCCCATAGCACCATTAGCTAAAGCATTCTTTCGAGGTCTTGCATCAGCTATATATAATTTCCTGGAAGATGTAGAAAAAACCAAACATTTTTACTTAAATCACAAAATATAAACATTCTGAAATGAAACAACATAAAAGAGAATGTGCTCTTTTTTGTTATTATTATTGAAACACATTAATGTTTGTTGCTTTGCAACATTGACCCATTAGCAATAAAAGTCATTAATAAGTAGATGCAACAAGAATAACTGAACGTGAAAAAGTAACACTGAAAAAAGTTCGAGGCAACAAGTTGAAGAAAAATTATCACTTACCTCCGTTTACCTCTTGTACCAGCAAGCTTAGTGCAAAGTGCAGCAACAATCTTTTCATCTGTGTTGCTGCAGACAAGTTAATGCATGCGAATATGCGATCAACACCAATTTCATAAAAATCATGCACAATATAGGATAGTATATAGGTGCTCTAAATTCCAAGAATTAAAAGTAAACTATATATGTATAATATCATTCCTTTACCGGGTTGTCCTACTGACAGATGTCAACCATATCTACTCTCTGTGTGTGCAAAAGGTGATAGGAGATTTCATTTTCAAAAGATAGATAATATTACCTCCTCATATTCATCATGAGACCAACCAAGGGTTGGGATGAGCGTGCAAGAACTGCTCCAGTTTCTGTAAGTTGCCAAGAATGTAAGGACAAAAGGGATGAATAATACAACAAACAGAGCAACAAAAGGACTTTTTGCATACTTGGATCACACCATGTAACTACAGGCAAGCGACCTCTTGCTCGGAAGTTGGAAGCTTGGAGTACTTCTTCATCACTAGCATCGGCAACCATGAAAAAAATTATTAGTTGTGTAGTTCCAAGGAATGAAGTAAGCCTCATTAAACCTGGAAAAACTTAGGGCAGAAGTATGAAATGATGGATCTTAAACTCTTACGTTATGGATTTTGGAACTATCAAGGCAAATGGATAACTCTGGCACATTATATAGCTGGAATTTATACTACTTATTCTCCACAAATCATTAGAAAATGTGAATGAACCATCTTCAATCATATCCATCGATGGTTGTTGGAACCCTTTTCCAAGAAGCCGAAGATACTCATTTAGTAACCGCACCTTTGGGCTGGTGTTAAAAAATTTGGATGGTCCAGACACAAAAGCATAAAGATCCCACAGATTTGCTGGCTTTGTACACCTTACTAATGCATCAAATATTGCACGTCTCTGCAAGTTTTTTGTTTTTAAATACCCATGTTATACAACTGTTCACAACTTCAAATGCAATAAGCAACTAACAATTTACCATGATATTGAAAACCTTTACACACCAGTAAGATTCTTTCAAGGTTATGGGCATAAAGTATAGACACAAGAAAGGCAAGTACATAAATCGCTTAATCTCTCAAGTTTAATTGTTTATGTACTCTATAGATAATACTTTTTTTTCTACACATGTGGTCCAGACATCCAGAAGTGCTGCCCTGACAATGACGCTGCCAATAGCAGTAACCAATTTGGCTTCAGCTGTTACTGGTTGCAGCTTTAGCTGCATTTATTTCCATCACAATATGGGTGAGACTGCCCAACATATAACTCAAATTCTGTCATTTTTTGAAAATTTGAAGCTAAAGCCTCACTTTTCATGACATGCAAAGGACAGTCCATCCCCCCGTACCGACCATCAGTATTCACTTTCAACTGATATGTTAAACGTAGTTTCAGCTATAATAAACTGCAAGCGTTCTTTATTTATGACGACTACTATCAGTTAAACATTCAATCTAATGAAGAGCAGTCAAGGGATATTATGAAGTGCGATTTGACGTAAAAAAGAAAAGTTTGACTTAAATTGATGATATTAGTTTTTGAGAGTGATGTTCAGTTTTGTCACAACATTTGCAAAACCATAGATATAGAAGATACAAAACCTTTAACAGATATAGACTGGAATGGACCACAATGCAAAAGTATCGAGAAGTATTCACAAAAATAATTTACCTGCCTTGTTTTAGGACGAAACCCAAAGACAATGGTCCTCATGTCTTTACCTGCGAAGTATAAATGCATAAAACTATTAGTTCTCTCAAGCGCAGAAGACCTATCACTGGACTAACAAGCTATATTTACTGAAATATATGAGTATCAACGTAAAGGATGCCATGAGCAACTAGCCATACTTGGACCCACCACTCCAGTAGCGACTATGAAATTAAAAAGAGAATTTTTCTTGCACAAAGTATAGACAACTGCACAACTTAACCTTATTAAATAAAACATCTTAATCTCCCAAAAATCAATTAATGAAGAGTCATAATTAACTAACATAATCCCTTCTGTCAAGATGGCCATATGTGGGAAGGTGAATAAGAACTGTTTGAGAAAATCAAAGCAGACCAGGGGGAGAACTTTGGCCTGTATAAAACCGACAACATTTAGAGGCAGTGAGCCAAATAACAATGTCATTGCAACGAACACCAATACTATAGTGGTCTTGAGGATTTCTATATTGTTTAACAAACATATCTAACATAGAAACCACACCTCTTTTCATAACACAATCTTCAAATGATACTGAATCTCACATGATAACCAATTAAACAACAAAAGAATTAATAAAAATTTACATAAGTACTTCATATTAAATCGTACCAATGACCTGAAGAAGTCGTCTTGATGGACTCTTTTCAGATTGACGAGGGGTTGACTGATTCTTTACGACCTACAAAGTCAAAGAAATACAATGAACTGGCTATGTCCACATCCCAAAGAGAAACACTACACTACAGGTGAAAACTATATTGAAAAATAAATAATTGACAGAGTCTGATCACTGACAGACATGTATGAACTGTCTTAAAGCTCTGTCATCTCACAAAATACGGCAACAAGTGAATTTATTCTCTCAAAACAAAAATGTGACAAGGAGTGCAGAGATAGATGGTGCAAAAGAATGTCAAAATGGGCAGATCACTGGCGTATTGGTGGTAGATCACCTGAGAAGTGGAACAAAGAATTGGGAAAGCATGAAGGACAACACCTGATGGAGTTGGAAAGAACTTGGATGGGGAGAGCTTTGATATTAAAAATGTAATCAAATATTTCGTATTGACACATGGCATGTTTACTTACTTGGAATGGGGTAAGTCATGAATTGAAGAAGGGAAAGAAGGAATGTGTATGGGATTGACTAGTCCCCCTAGTTAATATTATTCCTGATTTTTCTGATATTTGATAACAGATTTTAATGAGGAACCCACACTTTTTTTTTATTCCATATGAGTTAGTAAACACAGGGAAGTCAGAAATTAGAATAATTCCAATACCCATGTTTTAGTAAACGCAAGAAAGTCAAGACCGGGAAAGATTTTCCATGTAAGTAAACATGCCCACGATTCTTTTTAATAAAAAAATATTAACACAGTTAAAAATATGTGACCAGGCATCTCATAAGCTTTCCTCAATTAATTTCATCTCTAAATCTTTCAAAGATGCAAGACTCTTAGAAAGGTTATAGATACAAATGTATTGGAGATTGGAGCACCACAGACAAGTTTATCACAAGACTTGTTTGTCTACAATAAAAATGTATAAATGGAGATTAGAACTTACAATTTTGGTGAACTTCTCAATTGTTGCCAAAGGTATCGTGCCAAGAGCAATAACATTTCTTGTTCCCTCACTCTAAAAACAAAAGTAAGAATATCAAATTAGCTATTTTGGGTATACATGGGAACAACATATACACCAACAACATCATTATATTGCAGACGATTATATATATATATATATATATATATATATTTATGTACTATATCTTTTACATTCCTCATAACTGCAAACAACTTATGCGCTAACAATTTCACTAGCAGTAACAGAAACAAGTACAAAACCTAACAAATGCAATGGCTACTACAAGACTTTTTTCTTTATCCTTTTATTAATAAATCTTGAAGGTTTCTGTCTCCCTTTTTTTGTTTTTCAATTTTTCCATCACCTTCTTCCTTCTCATCATATGCACCAATTGCACAGATACTCACTCAGGTGATTGGCCCAAGGGGTAAATTCCAGACCTTAAATATAACAGCATCTGCACGCACATATCTAATTTCTGCTCCCCCAATCTCATCTGTTTCAAACTAACTCTTCTAACAGAACTCACTCTAGATTGCCGCATTACTAACATGAACGTCATTGTTACCAAAATTACTCCTCTTGAAACATGAATTTCACTCGGGGCATGCATTAAACAAACAGAACGAAACTTCAGAATGAAATGCACTTGAAAATAGCACATATTCACATATCACATGAACCACTTACCAGGAATAAAAGACGAAAATTGGTCACTATCAAGGTCCCTGCCTCATCCGTATTAACAAGAACAACTCCATACCCCTAAAAGTAAATTTCGAATATCAGAAAACTTCACCGGCATCCCATTAATTAATAAAGAAAACACCAAATTACATCCATCTTTGTTGGTACTTGTAATTAATGACATAGGAATCCTCCACAGCTATACTTAATTAATCGAGAATTCGGAAATACAAGAAGAAAAGAATTATATTGTAATTAAACTATTAGTATAAGAAAATTCACTATTTCAGCTTATTATTCAATAATCCAATGTACCTCAACTTGGACTTGCTCGGCTTCAAGCAAGCACTCCAATTTTACATGCGAAACGGACTGCGAAATGGACCGCGAAACAGGCTGTAAAACAAAATTAGAAAACAAAATGTGGGAATTGAAGATTACGAACAAAATTCAAAGTGAAGGAGGAACAAAATTTGAATAAAAATTGAAAATTCATGGAGAAAGATCCCTAGAAGTGGAGAGAGAAGAGGACCTCAATGGTCCAGTCGAGGGCGTCCCAGAGGCCAGTGGCCTCCATTTTCTGGGACTCGGAAGAGTCCCTGAGAGGCGTTGATCGACCTGAACGGTGCTTCGGTGCTGCCATGCCGCGAAGGACGCCGTTTGTCCGACTTTCGACAAGATAATGGAAGAGAGAGAGAGAGAGAGAGAGAGAGAGACGTGAGGTTTCTCGTCGTTTTATTGGTTGTTTGTTGTTGGCGGTGAATGAATCGGCGGAGGGAGGGAGGGAGGGGAGAGGGCTTTACCACCAGCCTTTCAAAGAAGTAACGGTTCGCACGCGATGTATTTTTTCAAAATATTATTATTTTATTATTATTTGCGTGTACGAACCACCCTTCACACACTCTCGCCTTTTGGGTTGGTAAATGAATTTTAATTTTACTAAAACGGTAGAGCCCAAAAAAAGTAACAGAGCATACGAGGGGAGCAAATGAAGGCCTTGAAAACTTTATCGTTCAACAGCAAGGGATATTTTTAGGTGAGAAAAGTATTGGCAGGAGAGCAACTTTCATCAAACTGCTAAATTATGATAATGATGGTATTTTGTATCATGCAAGTCCTTTTTATAGATAAAGTTTGCAATAAAAGTTGCAAATCAACAAAAGTTTGCAACAAAACTTACTCTAACGTAAGACTCCTGAAATCATAATTAGGGCATGTAAAATTAAAGATTATTCGACAAATATGGTAAACACCACAGGTACTCTCCTAGGGTATCTAATTCGTAAGCTCTAATACCATTTTGTCACACCTCGACCTGCAAATAAGAACTATTCACGAGTTAGAGTGTGAGTCATAACTTAACTATAAAAATAAATTTTACAGCCAAGATATGGTGAAAAAATAAAATTAAATATCATATATCATATAACAAAATCTTACATTCAATTTATCGAATACGCAGCGGAATAACAATAGTGCACAAATTAATTCACAACAAAAACTACCAATTAAATAATAATTAAATCGTAACAATTCTTTCAAATGCATGAAATACATGCAAATAAGATGGATGAATGCACTCACTCCCTTCTAATCCCGCTAATACTAAGGCATCCAAGCTTGCACGTCTCATACCATGCTTATACCATTTGGCTTTGAATACCTTAGAATATGAGTTGACTCTCGTTCATTCCTTAAGATCAATTTTCAAAATTTATTTCTCCATTTCCACTTTATTTATATAGGCACTTTCCCCGATGCCCAATTGTATATTCAAACCCTTCCCCCTACGCTTGACATATACAAGATTTCATTATTATATGTTCAAGGCATTCTCAAAGTCCTTGAATATCTCCATAACTCAAACACTTTACACAACTCAACATCTCAACTCTTTTTCTTACTTTGCAATGCATATATATATGTGCACGTGTGCATGTGCGTGTGTCATGTTCACATAGATATTAATAATCACATTTTCTTTAACAAGCTTGCAAGCTTCAACATAAATTAAATTGAGTACTATAATCATAAATCAACAACAAAGTAATATCTTTAACAACAACATAAATGATAAACAATATGTTACCATTTCCTCCTTTTTTATTGTATCCAATTTCATTTCCTCCCCTCTTGTTCTCTTTCTTCCTTTGCCACTTCCCCTTGCTCTTCGGAGATGTTGGCCTTCACGTTGGACGAGAAGGCTAGCTCAACCGAACATCAACTGTTCGAACTAGCGTACAAGTCAGCACATATTTTGGATTCTTGTGGTCTTTGGATATGTCATAGAAGAGATGGTAAGGAACAACTGTTTTGAAGGAAGTGTCTCTGTTTGATCTAAGGAAGTTGGAGTTTTGAAGATCTAAACATAACTGCAGGGTTTTCTGCGGATTTTCAAGCCTGTGATAGCATTTCAAGGATCTGGAATGAATGGACTGTTGGATCTTTCTGGGATTTGGATATGTTATGGTAGAGAGGAATAGGAACAACTCTTATGAAGAAATATTTCGATCTGTGCTACGAAAATAGGGTTTTGGTACTCATAACATGACTGTCCAGTTTTTAGCAGAATTGGAGACTAGGTTGGTATTTGAAACATATGGGACAATCTCACCATTGCAATTTCATGAAATTTGGATATGTCATGATAGAGAGACAGACAAACAACTTTCATGAAGGAAGTACTTTGATATAAGATACAGATGATGGTTTTTTGATCTGTTAAATAGGTTGGACGAATTTCTAGTTTTCATATATCTTTCTTTTGATAGATGAAAATGATGGTGAGTTTTGGAGAGATTTGTTGGGTGAGCTCTCATGCATTTTTTGGGATTTGTCTCTCACTTATTGTACAACATTCTTAGGGAAAGTAAAGGGAGATTTTCGATGGGCGGTGTCTCTGGACTCCCAACTGGATTGGGCAAGTTTTGAGCTATGTCGTATGGTTTGGTGGGCTCTATAGGGGGCTCGTAACGACAAGCTCTGGAACTATAAATGCAACTGACCTGATTTGATTATCGTCAGAGCACTGAGTTGGTGGCAGGTTTTAGAGGAGGCTTCTACCACAACCCCAATTATCCGTGCACCACTCCCTACCTCAATGTGGAAACATCCCCCCTTTGGTTGCCTCAAAATCAACATTGATGGCGCTTAAAGGGAGGCCCATCGTAAGGGTGGAATCGAGGTAATCATCTAGGATGATACATGGGACTTTATAGCGGCTCTTTCCAGGACCTTCGAGTTTGTCTCTTCACCCATTCACATCGAAGCCTTTGCGGTTCGTGAAGGGCTCTTATTGGCTAAGCATAAGGGTTTCCAAAATTTTCTCCTTGAAACTGGTTCTCTCCAAATCTCCAAAGCTTTGAATTCGACTTCACCGGATATGTCTTTCAATGGACACATCATTGAGGAATCAAAAGCTCTGCTCGCTGAGGTCACTGGAGCTAGTGTTGCCCACGCTTGACGCCAACACAACGGGGTTGCTCACCGCCTTGCTCGCGACATTGTCTTCATCATATGATTGCTCTTGGTTCGAGGAACCTCCCGATATCATCATTGATGTCTTGTACTTCGAGAGTTGTAATTAGGGGCTACTGGTTTTCCTGCTTTTGGTTTGGCCTATGTTATTTTGCTTTGGTTTTCCTGGTCTCTGTAATGATCCCAAGGAGTTTTTCTCCTTTTGCAATATATATCGCGGCTTTCAAAAACAAAAAACAAAAATATGAAAGGGAGAATGACATTTTGTTGGAGTTGTTTCTTTTATTTCTTCTTCCTCTCTCTTCTCTCCATGTCCATTCCGTTGGTTCTAACTCCTTCCTTTATAGGGATTTAATGACATCTTCCATCGCATCTAGTTTTAGGAGAAAGCTCCCAAGTGTGCCATTAGAAAGAAACCAAGTATTGTGTGAATCATTACCATGAAATGTGTTCCAATAACAAGGCAACAAGTGTTGTCCTAATCATTAAGAATGATAAGTGTTCAAGTGACAAAGCAACATGTGTTGTTCTAATCATTAACAATGATATGTGCTTCAACGGAAAAGCAACAAGTGTTAAGTTAATCATGAACAAATGAATAACATGCAAGATGGATGCAAGCATCAAAGGCCACGTAAAAGTTTCTCTCAAGTTATGCTTGATAGACTTGCATTGGAGTGAGAATATTGCCCAAATGATTAAGATTCCTTTATATTGATGAGTAAGCACTTCTTATACCACAAAAAGTGCCTCATGCATGCTAATATACGCACGCACGTAGTCATAGACCTCCCACCTCTTCATTTTAGAGTGGTGAATAGTCACCAATCATTAACTCCTAATGATTACAAACTTGCCAAACTCACCCTTGTTTGGTAAAAATATCAAGCCAATCCCATATAATCACACTTCTCCAATTCAAACTAAAAACATCTCTTATTACATAAAAACATGAAATAATACTAGCTAGTTTTTGAAATAATTTTGTAGTAAAATGAACTTACGATGAGACTAGTTTACATATCGAAAGTACAGATTCTTGCACATACACATACACATTTATAATCTTTTTTTATTTTTAAATACGGGGTATTACATTTCTCTTATTTTCATATTTAAGAGGAGGTCAATCATCCATGTGACTAACCAAAACAAAATTTGATGATTGATTTTTGGCTAAACTCCCCTTCTTTTTAACCTCTGAATTCTTTTAAATTCATTACTAAAGAAAGTAATTTTCACTTGTAAAAATATATACAGTTAACAGTGACACACTCACTTTTCCATTCCCCCTTAACCAAAAATATATAAAATTATAAATAAACAAGCAAAATTACTTTCTTATGCACAACATTCCTCAACATTCCTCTTTGTAGAGACCTAATTAAACAGAAGAAAGAAAAAAAAATGCAGGTTTGGGGGAGCTACAAATTTCTTCTAAGACCATCTCCAACTCTTATGTTAAAACATAAAATTTGGGCAAATTTAACTCAGAATTTAGGTTTTAAACTAGCTCAATCATTTTTCAATGGTTGGGTCTAAAATAAGTTTTGGGTTAAAACCTAAAATTTGTGCAAATTTAAAATATTAAATACAAGAAATCCAATTGCTGAGATCAGATATGTTCAAATCTAACGGTAACAAAAAATATAATGCCCCAAAATTAAATGCAATGGCTTAACAATTAAAAAAAAATATTCAAATCAAAATTCACCCAAAAATTCTATAAATACATGTTTCATGTGGTCGGTTTAGTGAATATTCAACTCTTCTTGGAATCTAAATATTTTTAGGTTAAAATGTTTATAAAAATAAATTAGGATAATATACATAAATTTTATTTTGAAGAAAATTACCCAAAAAAAAAAACTTAGCTTAATTTATTCTTTAATAATTTCAGGCTAAAATTTAAACCAGAACCATTGTAGCAACAAAACTTTCCTGGGTTAAAACTTAAAATTTAAGTTTTAATGCAAAAGTTGGAGATGGTCTGCAACCCAGAAAACAACTAACAAAATCTTATTATGATACAACTTATACCCAATATAATACTGGGCATAATGATATCATATGATCATATATCACAATATTAATGTTACAAAAATTTCAGTGTAATAATGGAAAATGGCAAAGTGAAGAGAAAAATATTAATACATGAGAGGCGGGAGAGAAATTTTTCTGTTTGAATGATGGAATAAGGGCACTTTTGCTTATATAATTTATGATGTCAGGGTATACTTGATATTAAATACATATACTTTCTTTAAAAAAAAAAAGTGTGTATATAAATGTAGTCGTAGCTTAACAATGAATAACTTGAAT